ATTTAGACTTAAATAACATCATTTATAGATCAAAAATAAAGATTTGATAATTGACAAACCATCGTTGACACTCTGGCCCCTTTAGCAACAGTATTCCACAAGATTTGCATTACTCGGATAATATAGAAGGTAGCCTAAGTTGACCAGGGCCTGTTGACCACCACGATATCCGCGAACCGTGAAGCTTTAAAAGAGACAGGCCCCTTGTTTTACTCCGTATCATAAACAACGTCATGCGCTTTGGTCGACAACAACTCAGGTGACTTGATTATCAACCAATATAACGACGGCGCATAAGGTGTCATGTCATGTCCGACAACAGAAAGTTTTATTTATTTATCCACACCGCAGTACACCTGAGAGGTTTCATTATATTGAGATTGTTGTTAACCTTCCAAGGCCCGCTGACCAAAGACATAACCGCCTTAATCGAAAACGCATAACATTCTTCGACCCCAGAAAGCTTGGTGGACGATTCAACTCGAAATGATCCAGCGTATGAAATGCCGCACCTTTGCCTAAAACAAAAATGTGCTTCAGGTTAGTGCTAAACCAAAATTTACTCATTGTGTCGACCGCCAGTCCAAACGAAACCCAGTCCAATCAGAAACCGAGTTCTTAATTTGGACCAAAACACACCTTTAAACTGAAATCTCCAGGGCGATAAACATAATTTACTTAACCATAAACATCATCTTGTAAGCCTATGTGGAGTTACTTCTTCCACAATTTAACTTACGAGAATGGCCCATAAATCAAAAACATAAACAACCAAACCACTTCCCTATGATAACGAACCCACCTTTGATCAAACATCCAAGAATGGAGATGGAGACATCATCGCGATTATACTTACGAAAGAATCAGTTTATCACGACCCGAGACTGGTGGCAATAAAAAAATAAAAAATAAAAGTACCCTGAAACCTAATGTCTTTTTTTAGAATAACAATTTTACGCTTAAAACACTTTAATTTACTTGTCGACCAATACACGCTCACACTAAACAGACATCAGTTATTTTATGTTATATTCCGCAGAAAAATCAAAGTTATCTAAAAGACATGTCGCTCGCGAGATCGCTCAATTCAATACACATTATAAACAGTTTGTATTGTCTCTCGCCATCATACAATCGAAGCAAAAAATGTTTTCAACGCAATCACATGAAAACTTTTGTATGTTTTGTTTTGGTAGCAGGCTTTTCACTCTGGTCTAATTTGAATAAATACAAAGACAAAACCATGAAAACTGAGAGTAAAATAATGGATTTAATTTCAAATGTGCTCACAACAACTTTATTACTTATCATATATGTTTCCAACAGTCGATGGTTACATTGCAGTTATAAAAAACTGCTATATATTTTGACAGAATTTGACAATTTCTCAGCATACAAACTCGGAAAAACTATAAAATCGCCTAATACTAATTGGGCACTAATACTTTTTCATATATTTTTTATTCCATTTTCAGTTATTGATTTATGCGATTGGTTAATTTTAGAGCAATGGAAGGAGTATGTTTATTTCATCAATGATGCTATTCACATGTATATGATATCAATGTTATTACTTCACATTAACATGCTAATAATAAACATCCAAAAACGTGTCGAGTTCTTAAACAAGTTCATTGTTCAAGATACTGTTTATGTCACCCAATTTAAATCCGTATTACGGTTTAAAATACAGACGATTTCAACACTCCATGAATACCTGGGTGACTCAATAGACAATTTCAATCATAATTATGGTTGGTGCTTAATGCTGGTGTTTGCTATAACTTTGGTAAATGGTTTACAATGGCTAACTGTACTCATTTTGAGGCAATACAAGCAATCCACAATTTCGATGATAATTTTCATTATGTGGATAGTTTATAACTTGGTAAACCCTTGATATATTTTAAAATTGAAATCAAACATTTGTATCTTATATATAATTGTTTTTTCTTTTCTGTTCAAGTTTATTGCAAACATCACCACGATTACAGCTGAAAATCTTCAACGACAAGTAAAAACAACTCAACTTTTAGTATGTAAATCGTTCAAACACCATGAACAAAGTACTGAGTTCGAAAGGTGACTGTTATGGTTACGGGAGCAGGTCAATGCGCGAGATTTAACCATCAGAGCTGGCAGCTTCTTTAATATAAATTACACATTGATTTTTACGTTTATGAACACCTATGTTACTTACCAAATCATGATATTGCAAATGAGTGCGAAAAAGCATGTAGTGATGTAATATGAAACTAAATAACTCATAGTACGAGTAAATATAAATATTTAATATTTTATTGTGCATCAATTAATATTAAATAGTAATAAACCATCTGGGATTGACTATCCATGTTAAATTAATAGAATATCAATTAATGTCAATTTCACGCCAACTAGAATTGTATAGAATGAGGGGTGTTATTTAGAAATGCTTTTATTGGGTAGGAATTTACCGAATGTGTTTTAAAGCGACACTATTTGAAGCAGTCGATAAACGTTGAGACATTAAAATTTTAAACCAGTTGAAACCAGTTTATTTTTGCCAATACAATGAAATATGAATGAAATAATATGAAATTTCCGTTTACCAACTGGTTACGACGAACAAAATCTACCCAGAGAAATGTTCTAGTTTTTAGCTAACTGCCACAATTGTCTTACAAAAAGAATTTATATATCACAATCAATGGGTGCAGCATATATAAGATGTGATTAAGATTAGCCAAAATAAACGTTTTCTGGACGGTACATGAATGGCTGTAGTTTGTATTTTAAAATAGTACAGTGGAATCCCGGTAATCTGACGATCACTTTGCAGGGCAGTGTAGGATGATCGAATTTGTCGGTTTATAGAGGACTGCCTAAGACCCCTTACAGTCCGGAATTTTTTACAAAAGAGTACCATGTAATCAGCGTTCGGATTACCGGGATTTCACTGTATTTAATATTATTCTGTGTTTTATTAATGTGTTATGTGTTAATATTTTATTAATGTGATTTACTTGTGTTCTGTATATTTCTAATAATAAACTTCCATTTCTAAACGTCCATTTATTTACCTACTATTTGTAACATCATTCCTACATATATGAGTAGTACCTACATGATTCATTAAACAAAATCAAATTGGTTGACTTTCCCTCAACGGATTTTAGAGCGAAGCTTGTTTTTTCCTGTTGTACCTATAAATTACTGAAAAAAATATGCCATTTGTTACTAATACAGTAGCACCTCGATAAGGTAAAGTTCAAGTGAAACTGTTCCAAATTTGAGTTATTGAGTTTTTAATTTATCAAGAGTGGCAGTTAGAGAGGTTACTGGAATATAATTTTTATCGTAACATGGTTCATGAATTTCGGGAACGTTAGTGAAAGAGGAATGTTGTTCGATCTGTCTGTTTATTTAAATTAAGGGGTAGTGTTCCTTAAAGCGGGCTGTAAATAATTGTTTACTAGTTCGTAGTGAGATGATGAGAAATTTATTATCAAAGAGGAAACATGGCTGATTGAATAACAAATTCTGCACAAACTGTAAACGGACTTCGCACTTGTATGGTCGATCAATTTGGCAACAGTGATACTTGGAACTTTGTAACATTTAGACGTACTCGTATTGGGAATTTCCAGAAATAAGGAATGGAACATATTTACAACAGCAGTAAAGCAATAATTGAAGATAGATTGGAAATTTTGGATTTGGGAATTTTGGAACATGTGTTTGGTTGGAGATTCCCACAAAATTAAATAAATTTTATCAATTTAAAATTAAATAAATTAAATTAAATTAAATTAAATAAACAGATTTATTTATTTACAAAAAAGTCAGTAATTTTTTTCTGTTTCATAAAAATAATTGAATAAAACTCTCTCAGTAAAAATTCTTTTTTTTATTTTTTTTTATTTTCAGTTTATGAAGTAATATGAAAGTAATAAAATTCATTTATAAGTTAAAAATGTTGCATGATATTATAACCACAACCCAAGTATTCTTATATCCTATGTAAGTCTTTAAATTGCATTGATAACTATTTTATTACAGTGAATATATCAATATGTATGAAACACAGCATTTATTCGAATATTTATATCCGTTTGATAATTTTGTGCATACTTAAGTACAAAAGGCAAAGGCATTGGCGCATTGTATGATCACGCCCGTCCGTGATTAAAATGCTACTTACGTGTCTCGAAACCTTGAAAATAGTTGCGCTTTAAAAGCGGAAGTAGAAAAAGATAGAAACATAGAAAGATTCCAGAAAATGTTTATTTAAATAATTAAATTTGAATCGGAGAGAATACGCGCTGACGTTATGAAGTTAATGAAGTTTATTACTTTCTTTGGCGAATACGTAATCCATTTTTATATTTGAAATATTTATTTATTTATAATTTTTCGTGAATATTGGATTTACAATTTATATTTGGAGTTGACATGTTTCGCCCACATATATAACAAATTCAAATTGTAATTCATATCACATATATATTTTAAATTAAATATTAATAAACACAGATTACGTATCCAACGTGTGTCCAACGAAAAAAGGTAAATAAATATGGTTTATACTTATTGAATCATACTACAGTGTACTACAGTTACTGGCAACTGTAAATGGAAAACTTTAAATTCACAACTAGATGTCGCATGAATGCCTTCTCCTAATTCAAGCAAATAAAAAAAATGGAGTTACTGCATCATCTATGAATATTTCATTGACTGTTCAATTTCAGTCAATATAAGAATAAAATTCTAATCTTGAATAAATAACAACAAATCATGCAAAGCGGGAGTATATATTTACATGTGAAAGTATGATTTCACAAGTCGGCATTCAAACTAATTTATGCGACATCTAGTTGTGAATCGAAAGTACGTCTACTGTAGTATAAGCCAGTATCGCAGGACGACTTAAAATATCGATGATTAATTTTAATCCTAACGCATACAATGAGATCATATACGCATTCCGCTGTGACAACAAACAAACCCAACGCACGTACAAAATATCTCGTCTTTTATTTCGATCCACAAATAAAAAAGAAGGAAAATTTTAATGTAAACATAGTAAACTCTAGGCAATACATAATTTGTATAAGATATATATTAAATCTAAATTCTACGATTAGTTGCTCCGCTCACGTACTTGCTTTCTGCTTTCGAAAAGGCACTTACTTCATTTAACTCGAAATTTCTAGCATTTCGTGCCACGCCCTCACGCCTTAATTACTCATAACCCTATATCGTAAATTCTAATTACGATTAAGTGATTTGAACACAAAAAGTTTCCAGTATAAATCACACAAGTGATCATTCGAGATGCTAATATAAAAGAAAAACAAATGCGGGCTAACCAAGATGGCCTCACGTTTTCGAACGCCGGAAGCAAACAGTTGGTTAAAATTCACGATTTTTTAAGGCGCTGAGCGAACGCGACATTCCATTCGATTACGTTGGAATGTCGCTTCGCTTGCGCAAATGCAAACAAATATCGACTATTAGAAAACATGTGTGAAGACGAGCTGACGACTTCACAATCAGGAGAGAATACTTAATTTTATACGATTATAAATCTATGAAAGGTCCTAAAGCTATGCGTTCGGACGTTGGGTCGAGGCCGTTCACATGATGCGGCATTTCTCGTCTCCTTGGGGATCGCCCAGTTGATGGTGAAGGTCCTCGCCGAGGTAGCCAAACTCGCGATGACGCGACGCCGAGCTAGAAACTTGCCGACGAACACGTTCCGAGGTAGCAACCTCTTCGCCATTCGAGTTGATCACAACAGTGGTCATGTTATCGGCCACCACCCAACGTATCCCCTTCATTACGAGACTGTGTGGCGGATCGTGTTCCTGACCGGCGTCCGCCGACCATACGGTTAACGTGCCACCTGGTTCAGCCTTCACGGATCGATGGAACTTGAAGACTGTTTCGGCGCCTCCAGCTCGTCGGATCAACTGCCAAGCTCCTAGTGATAGTTCTTTCTGTCCTATAAAGATAAAAACAACAATTTTAGTTGAAGAATAATATGAGAGGCTGAAAGTGGTTACCTTTGTTGTGAACCTTAACGAAACGTCCTTCGGGGCACACCTCGGCAACTTCAATATCACCCTTCGAGCTGCTGGTGATACTGAAATCACTTAGAGATGATTCCTGGCTCTCATCGAGTAGGGTACGCTTGCGTTTGCCTCCAGGGGCAAATCGCACCGGCGTACGACGCGAAGTGCTAGATCCACGTGTAGACCTCATACTGGATGAAGATATCTCAGCTGCGCCTCCAGCCGGTGTAATATTCAAACGTGCCTCTTCAGACTCCAATAATTTGCGGTAGGCGGCAATTTCCAAATCCAATGAGACTTTGATGTCCATCAAGTCTTGATACTCCTGCAGTTGCTGGGTCATTTCATCCCTCAATCGAGTCAGTTCATGCTCCAACACGGCCAAGTCTTCTGCATGACGCAGTCGCTCCTGTTCCATCGTTTGCTCCAGGTCTCTTGCGCGGTTGCCCAACGTAGCATTGGTACCCTCGAGTTCATTAACGCGCGTGGTCAGAGTATCAATTCTTGATCGTGCCGATCGCATTTCCTCAATCGCCTTAGCGGCCGCAGACGAGTTGCGCCCGGCCGCTTGTTGCAACGCCTTCATTTTGGTCTCATACAAGACCTCAATTTCCTGCCGGTTGTTGCACATCTGCGACTCGTATTGGTCCCGCAGCTCCTGTAGAGCCTCCTGCATCTTCGCTTCATACTGCTCAGCTAATCTGCCGTCAATCTCGCTGATTTCCACCTGGCGACGCGAACGAGTTTCGGTAAGCTGTTGCTGGAAGACTTGATCCTTGAAGGAGAGCTCCTCGCGAAGGCTTTGATTGTTGTTCTCGACATCGACGCGCGCAAGGGACTCCTCTTCTAGGCGCTTGCGTAACTCTTCGACTTGCTTACGGTATTTGTCGCGTTCCTTCTCGAGTTCACGTGCGTCGGTCTGAGCTTTTTTTGCGTCACCGAGCGCCTGTTGATATTTATGCGTGGCGTCATTCGCACGAGTTTCCAACGCGCGCACGGTGGCATCCGAAAGACTTAAATCCTTGGTCTTTTTTGCCAGATTGGTGCGAAGGTCTTCGTTCTCGTCCCATAAGCGCTTGGTGTCGATTTCGAGCTTAGCCTTTTCACGATGCGTCTCGTCAAGTAACTTACGCGCATCCGCTAGTTCATGATCATAGATGGATTGGATGTTGGAGACCTCCCGTGTGACAATCTCCTGAGAAGTCTGCACCTCGCGTGTTAGGCGTTGGTTCTCCTGTTCCAGGTAGCGCACCTTGTCGATATAACACGCCAGGCGGTCGTTCAGGTTGGCCAAGTCGGCCTTTTCCTGCATACGCGAGTGGCGTGTTGGGCTGAGCGGCGACTCAGGTCGCGGGACGCTTTGCGTCGCCGGCGTGCTCGATTTTTTGCTTCGCGTTGCCATAGTTCGTTCGGGGCGCACTCGCGCTTGTTTCACTCACGTTTCTCGGGCGACTGTCGGATGGCTCGCAATGTTCTCGTGGTGCTCGTCGTCCACAACGTGGGTCGTTTCTGTGCGCTGCGCACGCTTTGCGGGGGAACGCAGGCCAAAACACAACGAGGTGCGGGCTATTTTTGGACGGTGATGCAAGGCGCGACGCTGCGAGTCGCGTACCACGGTCGTACCGGCGACGAGGCGGATAACCGTTAACGCCGGCATCGCGTATACTCTAAGTGGGGCGTTGGGCACCTCCCAACGCTTCTACAGTTTTCTATCCATTCATTACTGCATCAAACTGCATTAGCATACATGGTGTATAACAAAATGTAAACAATTTTTGAACGAAATGTATGGAAATATTGTTATCAACTGACTTATTTATAATACTCGAGCATTAAAATTGTATTAACTGACTTAAATATAGCCATAATAATTTTCTGGTAATTTGTGTTAGATAAAAACAGAGAAATGTTGAACTCATGATATAAGAGTACACAAGTGTTGAATGTTTACTTGGTTTGAACATTACTCAACAGATGGTGGCGCTAGAAATTGGAACCAACTTTTGGTGCGAGTTAATGATTCTAAAAATTGTTTTTACTTTAAAATTAAAAGTCTTATCCTTAATATCATTTGGTTTATATTAAGAATAACAGTAATTCATTTTAGAGTTCTGTAAATTATGCATGAACGAATTATGTACATATGTATTTAACAAGAATTAAATCAATAACAAAGTTTTCAATACATGCACACTTATTAAATGTTTTTCTAATAAACATGGATATACGGTTATTTGCTTTGTGATAAGATAGAAATTTCTTTCTAATGAGTAGTTTATGACATGTAAACATTTTAAGGTGTAGGTGTGTTGCCATTCAGTATTTTCTTTTGAATAGAATTGTACTTTAAATGGAACATTAAATTAAACTATAAACATTTTACAAAGCTACTTGATTAAGTTAAGTCTTTTTAAGTTTCTAAAATTTATTAAAATCAATATAATTTCATCAATGTAAATATATAAAGAAATGTGAAATTAGTAGTTGATTTTGAACACTATGTAGATGTCAGCTGGAAATGTCATCTTGCAACCAGCCGTGTCAGCGGCTTGTCAGTGGGAGTTTTTGTCGATCAACGATTAAAACATTACAAGAAATTCGTTGATTTAAAATCAGTGCATAACTAGTGATTTAAGCGACGAGCACCATGACGGACTCGAAGTACTTCACAACCACGAAGAAGGGCGAAATCTTCGAGCTGAAATCCGAACTCAACAATGATAAGAAAGAAAAGAAGAAAGAGGCAGTTAAGAAGGTACTATCAACTTATATTTTAATACTATGGGAAAAATGGGATAATATCATGTATATTTTACATTGCAGGTAATTGCCAGCATGACAGTTGGCAAGGATGTCTCAGCACTATTTCCTGATGTAGTCAACTGCATGCAAACTGACAACTTGGAACTAAAGAAGTTGGTTTATCTATATCTGATGAATTATGCAAAATCCCAACCTGATATGGCCATCATGGCTGTGAATACTTTCGTGAAAGATTGTGAAGATCCCAATCCGTTGATCAGGGCACTTGCTGTTAGAACAATGGGATGCATCAGAGTTGATAAGATCACTGAATATCTCTGTGAGCCACTTCGCAAATGTCTTAAGGATGAAGACCCTTATGTTCGAAAAACTGCAGCTGTTTGTGTGGCAAAGCTGTATGACATATCATCTGGCTTGGTTGAGGATCAAGGATTCCTGGAGCAATTGAAAGACTTACTCAGTGATTCCAACCCAATGGTGGTAGCTAATGCTGTGGCAGCACTAAGTGAGATCAATGAGAACAGCCCAACAGGAGCACCTCTAGTTGAACTCAATACCAACACCATCAACAAGCTGCTGACTGCACTTAATGAATGCACTGAATGGGGCCAGGTGTTTATCCTTGACTCATTGAGCAATTACTCCCCGAAGGATGAGCGTGAAGCGCAGAGCATTTGCGAGCGTATTACTCCTAGACTTGCGCACGCCAATGCTGCTGTCGTACTTTCTGCCGTGAAGGTATTAATGAAAATGATGGAGATGCTTGCCGGCGATGCAGACTTCTGCGCCACGTTGGCAAAGAAACTCGCACCACCATTGGTGACATTGCTCAGCAGTGAACCAGAGGTACAATACGTCGCGCTGCGCAACATCAACCTCATCGTCCAGAAGCGTCCGGACATTCTCAAGCATGAGATGAAAGTATTCTTTGTCAAATACAACGATCCCATCTATGTGAAACTCGAGAAGCTAGACATTATGATTCGTCTGGCATCTCAAGCAAACATCGCGCAAGTACTCAGTGAGTTGAAGGAGTACGCCACCGAAGTCGACGTTGACTTTGTGCGCAAAGCAGTGCGTGCCATTGGTCGATGCGCCATCAAGGTGGAACCGTCAGCGGAGAGGTGCGTCTCCACGCTACTGGATCTCATCCAGACGAAGGTCAACTACGTCGTGCAGGAGGCTATCGTTGTCATCAAGGATATATTCAGGTAATATATTTGTTATTAATTTAAGTAGGCATGTGACAACGTCCCTGTCAGGTCAGTGCAATGGAAGTACCCGATGTACCGCCCGTTGTTTACTGGATTCTTTCCACGGTCGCGGCCGCGTGGGTATTTGTGCTCTACTCGATAGTACGCCGAATCCATTCTGACTGGAAAGAAATGCGCGAAGAACGTGCTGAGGAACTAGAAACGCGTCGTCTTAGACATTTCAGCCCTGAACCTTTAGCACCCGAATGGCCGCGACATCGCATTGATCGCCATCAACTTGATCCTAACACCTGCGCTGATTTAATCAAAGCTGATTTTCTAAGCCTGAGTCGTCATCCGGAAGTTACTCGTGCAGCCATTTCAGCTGTAAATCTCTACGGTGTTGGGTCATGCAGTCCGCCAGCATTTTTTGGTTCAAGCACCCCTCACCTCGAGGCCATAGATCTTCTTAAAAATGCATTCAATACCACGGCTGGGTTGCTCTATGCCTGGGGGACGTGTACAGTGAGTAGTGTCGTGGCCGCTTACGTGGACCAAGGCGATACCGTTTTTTTGCACGTGGACTCTTCTAAAGATCTACAGAGTCATCTTATGACATGTACACAATGTAAAGTATTGATTTATGAAGATATCCCCACTTTGAGTAACATGCTGGAAGAAGGAAATTATTCACGAGCGCTTTTTGTAATCGAAGGAATTTGTTCAACAACCGGTAAAATCGCTGATCTTGCTAAAATGCTGAAAATTGCGGCTGAACACAAAGCGCGGATAATACTCGATGAAACTCTTTCATTCGGTGTGCTTGGTGATAAGGGCGGAGGCGTCTTAGAATACGCTGGTTACTCGGTTGACGATGTAGATGTTATTACCGGAAATCTGGAACCCGTTTGGGGAGTAGTTGGCGGATTTAGCGTTGGCATTCCATCCGTAATCGACGCCCAACAGTTGCTAAGCAAAGCCTACATTTACACGGCAGCGCTTCCAGCATTCCTTGCTCGTGCTTTTATCACCGCTCACAATGTACGAGGTGATCGCCATCTCAAGCTGGAGATGCTGTCACTGGATTTCGATGTGTTGCTAAAGGGGTTGCCGGAGTTATGCAATATTAGTTCATCTCGATCTCCGCGTAAAGTCTTGGCGATTAGGGGTGGAGGGCGCATGCAAGTTTTTAAACACTGCCGTGACATACATCGGGTTTATTTAGATCAAAATGATCACGGGCTGGTTATTAACCTCTATTACAATCTGGAAGAGGATGAGCCAATGCGGAAACGTCTTGAAGAAGCTCTAATATCATCCGCGAAATTGTTACGCGACTAACGCTATGAAAGTCATGAAAAAGTAGTAAATTTCTGTGTATTTTTTTGGCTTTAGGAAGTACCCGAACAAGTACGAGAGTATTATTAGCACGCTGTGTGAGAACCTTGATACTTTGGATGAACCGGAAGCGAAGGCTTCCATGGTGTGGATTATTGGTGAATACGCCGAGCGTATTGATAATGCTGATGAGCTGTTGGACTCGTTCCTGGAGGGATTCACCGACGAGAATGCTCAAGTGCAGCTGCAGCTGCTCACCGCTGTGGTGAAACTTTTCCTCAAGAGGCCGACGCACACGCAGTCGCTTGTCCAACACGTGCTTAGTCTCGCAACGCAGGACTCTGATAATCCTGACCTACGTGATCGTGGTTTCATCTACTGGCGTCTCTTGAGTACAGATCCGGCTGCAGCAAAGAGGTGGTGCTTGCTGACAAACCTCTGATTTCGGAGGAGACTGATCTATTAGAACCGACGTTGTTGGATGAGCTCATTTGTCACATTGCTTCGTTGGCGAGTGTTTACCATAAGCCACCGACCGCGTTTGTAGAGGGACGCAGTGCCGGCATTCGCAAAACATTACCGGTACGTCAGGGTTCCGCGGATGATAGCAGTGCTCAAGCGGAGGCGACTGTTATTCCCAATCAAGACAGTCTTATTGGTGATTTGCTTTCGATGGATATTGGTGGTACTCCTGCCGCACCCTCTTCAGCTGCAGCACCTGCGCCCAGTAATGTAGACCTACTTGGAGGAGGGCTTGATATTTTGGTAAGGAAATTATATGAGGTTTATACGAACTTGTTTCTAATATTTTATTGTCTAGTTGGGTGGAGGTGACTTGACAGGTTCTGCCCCTGCACCAGCACCAACCAATTCCGGTCTACTTGGTGACATTTTCGGCATAACCACCGCGCCTACTATGTATACCCCACCGAAATCCTGCTGGTTGCCTGCTGAGAAGGGCAAAGGTCTTGAGATCTGGGGAACCTTTACAAGACGAGGCGGCGCACTGTATATGGATATGACACTCACCAACAAGGCGATGCAAGCTATGAGCGGCTTCGCAGTGCAATTCAACAAGAACAGCTTTGGTCTGGCACCTGCTTCGCCCATTACCGCTGGGCCACTCCCACCAGGCCAGAGTCTCGAACATGCTCTACCGTTGAATACTTCTGGACCGGTGCAGCGCATGGAACCACTCACTAATCTTCAAGTGGCGGTGAAGAACAACGTCGACGTATTCTACTATGCATGTGCCGTTCCTATTCAGATTCTTTTTGCCGACGATGGACAGCTGGATAAACGCTTTTTCCTAACCACATGGAAGGATATTCCTGCCGCCAATGAAGTGCAGTACACCTTGAACGACGTCCGCGGCACCGCTGATGTAGTTGCGGCGCGCATGACCGCCAACAATGTGTTTACCATCGCAAAACGTAACGTCGAAGGTCAAGACATGTTATATCAAAGTCTCAAGCTCACAAACAACATTTGGGTCCTACTGGAGCTCAAATTGCAGCCGGGAGTGCAGCATGCTACGCTCAGTCTCAAGACAAAGAGCACTGAGGTGTCGGCGGCCATCTTCCAGGCATACGACCAGATTATTCGCAACGCTTAGAAAGTGTAAGTCAGTGTAGGTGTCTCACATTCCCCTCGTATTGTATTTCTCTATTATCCAAGTGTATCAAAAGTTAGGTTATGCTCGTACTTGTATATGAGGAAATTATTTAAAGTGATCGTTTTGTGTATCGACACTTTCAATGTTATCGCTATATAGCTACAAATTATAAACGTATCATAATAATTTCATTGATTTTATTTATGTGCTTTCTCGTTATAATTAATATTTAAGATTATGTTGGGTTGCCTAAATTAACTATAATTCTAAAGCTTAAAATTTCATATATATAAGCTACACTTGCCACAAAATATCCTACAAGTAACAAAATAAAGCCCCCTTGAACCTTCCTTATCGACACAGGATCAAAAATGTATTTGTTTATAGACCAACGATTCATCACGAACATTTCGGACGTATACAATGTTTTATCACGGTGTCTCAATAATAAATTCTCCACAATTCCAGATTCGAATAAAGCACGCAATCCTTTTCGAATGGGCTCGAAATAGAGCGATCGAGGTACGAAAACAAACACATTATTGGTCGTTTGATACGGTTCCTTCAATAACTTAAAATCAATAAAATCGTCTTCTATCAACTCAAATCCCATAAAGTAATAATCATCATCTAAGATATCTGCATTCACACAGAGACCATTTAATGGTTTACCACTACGATTGATAATAAGGTTCCTGCCAACTTCACGCTTGTATTCATTCTCAGACGTCATAAGGAACACTTTCGTGAAGTCCGTTTCAATATGGCATGCAATTTTATTTTCGGCCATATCTTTTAGTTTCCGAATAGGTTTTGATGTCCTGGGGACGTTCTCCAGTGATGTATAACCAGCGCTGTAGTAAGTGGTGAGAAGCAAGCAGGAAATTGACCACATTAATAAAACACCACGCAGGAGATATCCATTGACACCATGTGCAGTTGAATTGATGGCCAAGAAACTCACCGATATCAAAAAATAATTGTTTAGCATCTTTCGTTCATGATACCTGGATACCGCTTTGATTAGAACCCCTATCAAGATGCAAGAAATTATGATCATGATCCAGGTAAGGTTTGACAATGCTTGAAAGACGTATGTTTCTTGGGGTAACAAATGGGCATCTGGAACCAGGTAGGTTGATCTCACCTCCATATAAGGAACAAAATCCAGCGGGTATGTAATGACTTGTGATTGCCAATGTGCTGTGATGCTCATGTCGCCGGTGCCATTATTTAAGTCTGCAAGCATTTTAGCCCATGACATTGGTGGATACTTTATATAGTCAATTGGCCAATCCTTCATTATTGATTTAATAATCTCCATCTCAATTCCGACTTGAGTAGCATTTGAAATTTCCAGAAAAGGGAGACGATCAAACATTAACACTTCTACCGATCGATGAAAGATTAACTTATAATTGATATTGTCTGTTAATTTGTTTGAATTTTCTTCATCAATTGTAATATTTTCGTTGTACCATAGGATGTCATCAATTTGTTGGTTTGCACTGATTGAAATTAATATTATATCCATACAGCGCAACAGTCCCTCGTGCATTACACCAAGTAAGTTTGTCTTTATTTGGTTGGAATAGATGAATACTATTCGTCTCTGTGGTAGAAATTTTTCGAAATTTATGTGGGCAACATCGTTTGCATCGTTCATTAAAGCGATGTATCCAGTTTCGGTGCAATTGTATTCGGTTTTATTCGTTTGGGGATTAAATGTTGAATTAGACACGATAAATAGTGGAAAACTTTGGAATAAATTGCTGAATATATTAATATTATTATCTTTGTATGTTACCACATAAATACATTGCTGGTAGTTAAATAAATCATTCAATAATTTCGTCCATTCTAATTGAATTGTTACAGCATTATTAACCATTATTAATACTAATGAAATGATGCAGTAATTCATGATTTTGGAAAAGCAAAAACAGACCTACTAAGACGATAAATCTATGCAGTTGTATAAAAAATATATATTGTTTTGAAAATAATTTACGTCAAAAGATCAATCAAATCACACAATCATAAGGGCAATTCATTGTTTTTATGTTTATAAATAAAATGTGTTTTATTTGTGTCACGCAGGTACTCGTAAGTACGTCAAATATAATAACAACGTGTAACGAACCATGTCATGTTTTTTAGTCGCAAACAACATTTGATATAAGTACATAATTTGTTATTGTTTTTATTGCTACTGATAATAATGTTGCCATATGTTCTTTATTCCTTCTTCTAAAATCAAAATGTTGGTAGGTTTTAGATATGTTACATCGTATCTGTATCTACTTTCGTTTGTATATTTTTTGTTTTGTTTCAAATTTAGGGTGCTAGGCACTTAACTCAATTGGCGTACGATGTGCATCGACGCAAAAGCGGACTCATTTTCAAACGCAGAGACGATTGGGGAAGGCTAAGGCTGATTGTTAGGGTAGGGCGTTTATTCTATTCGGCAAAGGTGGTACGAGGCCCCGGAATCTGATCCTGAGCTAAAAATATAGGCAATCTGATTGTCCTCAGATAGAAAATCGGGTCTGAATCATATACAAAATCGGGAAAATAGTCACAATGGCGACCGCTGAGCATTACTGAGCAAGACACCCCGTGGAAATATAGCATTCACGCATTCAATATTTCTGACGAGATTATCGTCACTGTCAGTAAAATTTAATTATCTCTCATCCAAGTGTGTACAAAGTTTTCATTTAAAATATAGAATTTTGAATAGAGTATATTAAATTAACGTGGTATGATTAAAATACTATTGAATCCAAATACTTTCTTGCACTTTCACCTGCATTTTTTCGTCGTCAAATTCATCTTATTATAGGGCACATTTTGACCTTGTTCCGTAGCGGTATACAAAAATAGTTGTTTTTAGCATGCATTCCATAAGATGGTGAATTAATTTCCCCTTGGTACAACATTCTTGCGACAATGTGTTTTGAATACTGTCCCATTCTAATAAAAAAAATTATAAAAATGATTATATCGCATATATTATTTTAAACATATAAGCTACAAAATAGTCCTTTTTGGTGAAACAAAACTCACAAAAAGAATTTACCGCAAAATTAATATCTTATCAGTGCTGGCCAAAAACATCCTAATTTGTATTTTAAGTATTTGTTAAATCAATTTGAACCAACAACTTAACAGTATATAATGAATCAAAGTATTTGTTTTGAGACAACATCTCATATTACTTGAAAATATTAAATAAAACTAAATATTTTATAAATGTAATATGATATCATATTTCATAATACATATTGCCAAAAATTGTAAAAATCAATTGGCTAGACAATGAGGTGAAATTAAGAAGAACATAATACAAACCAGTAGTGGTAAATTCAGGAATGGTATTTAGAATTTTCAGAATCAAAAATCGTCTATGAAATGGGTTTTACCGCGGCTTATGCCAATACATAAAAAAAATTATGCATAGTTGGGTGCTTGCAACACTTAATCATTTTAAGCCTTTTTGGGAAAAACTATAAATAATGAATAATTCGAATTAATTTCAGTATACAATCAATGCATGAAGAAATGGTAAACTATTATTGTAAAACTGCTATAGCTAAATTTTATCAACATTTCACAACATTGTGAAAGTGTGCCCTTCTTAAGAAACCAATCAATATCATAATCTTGCACATTCACATTGATGTTTTATTTAGAAAACGACGTGGATCGTACAGTTTAATTCATAATTACATTATAATAATAAACATCAGCACACATTCTTGCTTCTTAATGTTGCTTGCGCCTGAAACTGCATCCTTCAGTAAGTCGCGCCTTGCCGCCGGTGGCCGTGCACAGGATGGTTGAGCATCCCTTGCAGGGTACCGCCGACTGAGCGTGCGAGAAGATTGTAGAGATAGCGTAGCAACCGGGGCACTTCACGTCCATGAAAAAGCTGTTGGGGTGCTGCACGAGACGCTTCTTCTTGTGAGAGCGGCGTTGTTTCTCAGCACTCGGATGCAGCAGGTCGACAGCCAAAGGCATCTACAAACAAAAACAAGTGCATTTGTTTGAGAAAAAATAAGTATACAAGATGTTGTTAGGAAGTCATCGAGGATCTGTATGAGAGTTTCGGGGTTATGTTTATGCCAGCGATATGAATTTCATTGAATTTACACTTTAGGAGCGAACCAACAACGAAAAAAAGTTAGTAGGTACTTTTTAAGGGTGCACTTTAAGTCGGAGCAATCGTATTTACCTTGAATTTCGTTTAGTTAACACGTTACGTTGAATTATAACAACTACCGCACGTGGTTACAGCTCGACAGCGACCATGTAAAAGAGTGAGTTGCGGGCACAGTGCGCCGGAGTGTCACTAACGTCGCGCTAAATTCCCCTAGAATTATTAAATTACATATAAAGCCTGATTCACACACCTTTCTAATTTTGTTACCACAAAACAACAACTAGTTTACGTTCACAACAAAAATATATAAAACAAATAAAGAACAAATTGAAAATGTAAAATATAAATATCATTTATTTTACAATTTTATGTTACAAATATTTGTAATCTGTATTCAGTCTGTCATATTCCCTTAGCCTGTGACAACCTTACGATTGTAACTAAAAGCATGGTAAGTTACTAGCACGAAGCCAGCAGTGTGCACTGGTAGTGTGCGAAACATATCGGCAACCCAATTCTCATACTTTTAAAACGTCTGTTGATAAACATGTGCTTTCCCTACACGTGCTGCAACCTCAAATTAAACTTGAAATTGATTTAAAATTATAATAAACATGTCTTTTGGAGGCATGCAGCGTGTCAGCGAGAGTGTGCTTCGCACTCGACCTAAAGCAGTGCAGTTTACGCTTTTTACTAATGAAGATATCAGAAAGTTAGCGGTGTGTAAGATTATTTCATCAACCAGTTTTGATCAACTTGGACATCCACTTCCTGGAGGACTCTATGATAAACGACTGGGTATGTTATATATTGATTTAATTACAGTGCAAATGAATTATGCAATACATTCCCGTTTTTGATTTACTAGAAATTCGTGTTGACCTAGCACAGGAATAATTGAATGTTGAGGGAAATTTTAAATCAGGATCAGGCCAGTGTTTTACCATAATTCATGTTTGTTCTTTACCACATATTTGTAAATTGTTTTCGTAAATATTTTCGTGAAGTAAATAAATGCGGCTTACCGCAGTTTCTATTCAAATTATTAAAGTATATTTACCATGATCGAAACTTCAATTCAATTTTTATCCTTTATTGCATCTTTTCTTGTGATATTTTACATGATGATCTGCTGCGATAATTTGAAGATTCTCTGAAAATTTATTCAAAATCGGTTCTAGTTTTTATCTTTATTTAAATGTGTATACAGGTTGATAATGATTTATTTTTTATGATTAAAAGTTTAAAGTTAATATTAATTAATTATTTTCAGGACCTGTAACGGACCGAGCGGAACCATGCCAGACATGCCAACAACCTTATTTCTCCTGTCCCGGACATTTTGGCTATATCAGCCTTCCGCTGCCAGTGGTCCATCCACTATTTCACAAGGTCATAGCCCAGTTATTAAAATATTCTTGCTTGCAATGCTTTCACATTCAAATACCTGGTTCGGTAAAGCATGTGCTTGACGTGCACTCCAAACTTCTTGCTAGAGGTCTACTTGTCGAAGCCGAAGAACTCGGAGAGTTGATGCGTGATCTAATGGGTCGCTATGATAGCGTTATGGAATTGCCAGAACCAGACATGCTTAAAGTCAGCGTTTACGAAGCTCTCATGGAACGCCCGATTATCGACGCGGACGCCGAAACCAACAAAAATATCGAAAGTATGCGGAATAAAACTCAGTATGATGTATGGAGAGGTATCCGGGGCGGCAAGCGTTGTTTGTATTGCCAGGCGCAACCTGGAAAGATAACAGCTATCAGGCGGAAACTTATTGCCGTTGAGCGGCAAAAGCTTGACGAGACTGATGTTTTGGAGCAAACCATGATTCGCGCCATGGTTTCCAAGCCCATAACACCAGAACAATCCAGGGAGTACATTCGTAAAATATGGACGGAGGATTCGCCCACTTTGAAGAACTTATTTCCGGTTTTACAGGGGATCAAGGCAGAATATCCCACCGATGTGTTTTATATGGATGTCGTAGCGGTTCCACCGTGTAACATAAGACCATTGAGTGTGGTGAATGGAAGAGTATCCGAACACTCGCAAACTGCGATCTACAAAAGGGTGTTTCAGGATTCTTTGATGTTGAAGGCGGTTATGCTTGCGATGCGTGATGGAGAAGGTGGTGTGGAATCTCTGCCGCCGGAAACAAGAGCGGCTTACGCGGCTACGCGTGGCGCAACTCCAGTCGAGAAGTTGTCTCATGCTTGGGATCAACTCCAAGCTGACGTAGATGCGTTAGTCGACAATGACAATGGGAAGTTGAGTGGAGAGCAAGGATTGAAGCAGATCATTGAAAAGAAAGCAGGAATTATTCGCCAGCATATGATGGGCAAGAGGGTGAACTTTGCAGCGCGGTCGGTTATTACACCTGATCCGAATCTCAGCATCAGCGAAATTGGAATTCCGGAAGTGTTTGCGAAGCATTTGACTTATCCAGTGCCTGTTACTTCCTGGAATGTCGAAGAGATGCGAAAATTGATTATGAATGGACCAAAAAAGCATCCAGGGTATGTATAAATGCAAAGTTAGTAGTTTTGCTTTAATTTTTATTTTTATTATTGAAGGGCAGTGTCAGTTGAGTTTGAAAATGGTCGTGTACAACGTATCCCAGACGGTTCGACCGGAAAGGAGTCTATTTTGAAGCGACTTCTTACTCCTGACGGTCCGGAGAAAGGTTTCCGTGGATTGAAGACGGTACATCGACATTTGTGCAATGGCGATATGTTGCTTCTCAATCGTCAGCCAACTCTTCACCGGCCTTCCATTATGGCGCACACCGCACGTGTGCTTAAAGACGAGAAGACGCTTCGTCTTCATTATGCCAATTGCAAGGCTTACAATGCCGATTTTGACGGTGACGAAATGAACGCGCATTTTCCTCAAAACGAGATTGCTCGCGCTGAAGGATATCACATTGCTAACGTGGCCAATCAGTACCTGGGACCTAAAGATGGCGCACCGCTTAGTGGTCTTATTCAGGATCACATGATTGCCGGCGTGAAAATGTCCCTGCGCGGTAGATTCTTTGACCGCATGGACTATCAAGAGCTGTGTTATCAGGCGCTTGCATCCAAATTGGATAATATTATATTATTACCGCCTGCTATACGAAAACCGCGTATTCTTTGGAGTGGCAAGCAAGTATTAAGTACAGTGATAATAAATGTTATTCCACGTGGTCGCGCTGCTATAAATTTGACGGCAAGTGCGAAGATTCCAGCGAAAGCATGGCTGAATCATACACCGAGGGAATGGAAGTGTGGCACGCCATTTAAGGATGAGCGGACCATGAGCGAGGCAGAGGTGGTTATTAGAAGTGGCGAGTTGCTGGTAGGAGTCTTGGATAAAACTCACTATGGTGCTACCCCGTATGGATTGGTACATTGCATGTATGAGGTATGTATTTATAAACCACACTTCACAAGTTGTTTCTTTATTTGTTTTAATTTCCTAGTTATACGGTGGCGCATGCGCAATCAAGCTGCTCAGCGCGTTTGCGAAACTCTTCACTTGTTTCCTGCAAATGGAGGGCTTTACTCTTGGTGTTGAAGATATTCTGGTACGATCGGAGGCAGATGCAAAGCGCAGCAAGACAATCAAACAGTCGCGTAATATTGGTATGGAGACGATGCGTAAAGCTTTAAACGTCGGTGAGGATTTAACTCCTGAAGAACTTGTGGCTGAATTGGAACGCCAAGCTGTTGACAATCCAAAATTGCGAGCCTTGGTAGATCGCACTTATAAGAGTGAGCTGGATTCTTTTACCAATGACGTAAACAAAGCATGCTTACCTGCGGGCTTGGTTGCGCGCTTTCCGGCGAATAATCTCCAACTAATGGTGCAGTCGGGTGCGAAGGGTTCGACAGTCAATACCATGCAGATTTCCTGTATGTTGGGACAGATTGAATTGGAGGGTAAACGTCCACCAGTCATGATTTCCGGTAGATCTTTACCCAGTTTCCCGGCAACTGAGTTTTCACCTCGAGCTGGTGGGTATATAGATGGACGATTTATGACGGGTATCCAACCGCAAGAGTTCTTCTTCCATTGTATGGCCGGTCGTGAAGGATTGATCGATACGGCCGTCAAAACTTCGCGTAGTGGTTATCTCCAAAGATGTCTTATAAAGCACTTGGAGGGAGTTCGTGTCGGGTATGACATGACTGTTCGCGATAGTGATCAAAGCGTAATTCAGTTCTGCTATGGCGAGGATGGCATGGACATCTCCAAAGCGCAGTTTTTGAACAAAGAACAGATGCGTTTCTTAGCTGATAATGCAAAGACCATTTCTGATGGAACCGTGCTTGTGAAAATGAAGAATGATAGCGATGAATGTGAAATGAACGCGCATAGGAAGGATATTAATGAGTGGATTACCCGCAGTGGTGGTAAAGATCCACTTGAAACGAATCGTTCGCCTTTCACGTTATTCTCTGCCGCGGTAAAAGGTAAAGTAGAAAAGAATTTGCCGGACGCACATAAGGTTAGCTCAAAACTGGCCGCACTAAATTGGATCAGTTCATTGTTGATTTATGGCGGCAGGCTGGACCAGATGTCTGGTCAAAATTCACCACAATTGAACGTCACGCTCCTCCGCCAATTACAAGTCGATTTCAACCAGATGCTCATTTTGGAGCGCTGAATGAACGGTTGCAGAGCCTAGTTGATGATGGTGGATTTAGCGAGGATGTACGGGATGCACTTCGAGTGAAAGCTATGCAATCATTTGCACCTCCCGGAGATCCTGTTGGTCTTCTTGCAGCGCAGTCGATTGGAGAACCGTCGACGCAGATGACGCTCAACACCTTTCATTTTGCTGGTCGTGGTGAGATGAACGTCACTTTGGGTATACCTAGGCTAAGAGAAATTCTAATGATGGCGTCCAAGACGCCGAAAACTCCCAGCATGGAAGTACCTTTTCTTGAAGACGCTGTTGATTTTGAAGATCGTGCAGAAAAGTTATTAAGGATACTTACGCGCGTCACATTGTCTGATGTACTTGAGAAAATTATTGTCACACAGAAGTTGGTCCACGTGCCCGATAGGAAGTACAGCTACACGCTGAAGTTCCGCTTTTTACCAAGGAGGTTATATCGTCACAAGTTCAACGTCACACCGAAAAAGTGTCTGAAGTTTATGGAAAAAACATTCTTTAAGATGATGTTCCACGAGATCAAGCGGAGATCTAAAATGAAGAATGATATGGCGACTTTAACGGAAGAAACTAGAGCGAAGGCAAAGAAACGTGGTGAAGATGATGATGAAGAGGGAGCCGAAGATGAGGTTGAACGGGATGCAGATGAAATGAACGATATTTCCTCAGAAGATGAACCAGAGGATCAAGAGGATGCCAAAACAATGTCCAAGTTTCAACAGATAAATGATGATCAAGAGAATGATTCCTCTACGGAGGATCAAGCAATTAAAGAAGAAGTGCCACCTAGTGAAGATGACGATGGCTCAGAGGCGGTACGCAGTCATACTGTGCACATGCATCAGCTCGCGGAAAACTACGTTTTTGATACATCTTCTCACGAATGGTGCGAAATTGTCTTTAGTCTTCCATTGGGACAAAAGCAATTCGATCTTACTGCCTTGCTACGTGATGTGGCCGCCCGTGCCGTCATCTGGGAAACGCCAGGTGTTAAACGCGCCATTGCCTATAACGAAGGTGGACGCCGGATGTTGCGTACGGATGGAGTTAACTTCACCGCACTCAGTAAATACGCGGATTTACTGGATCTTCGTAGATTGTACTCGAATGACGTTCACCGAGTTGCGTGTACGTATGGGGTCGAGGCCGCGGCTAGGGTAGTGGTACGCGAGGTAAAAGACGTGTTTCGCGTGTATGGAATTGGAGTTGACGCTCGACATTTATCACTGATTGCGGATTACATGACATTTGGTGGTAGTTTTGAGCCGTTGAATAGGAAGGGAATGGAGTCGAGCGCGAGCCCGTTGCAGCAGATGTCATTTGAATCGTCGCTGACATTCTTGAGGGCGGCGGTATTGAGTGGAAAACGCGATGCTCTACGCAATCCTTCGGCGTGTCTCATGTTGGGCAAACCTTGTGCGATGGGTACCGGTGCTTTTGGACTTTTGCACGATATGAATGTGCATGAACGCTCAGACGCTTTGAAGTCTGAACTGAAGGTGGAGGGCTGATGAATGTTATCAACACAAATTTGCGTTGACCTATTGATATTCAGTTAATGCGAAATAAATTATTTGTTAAATTATATACCTGTTGTGTTCTTTGGTCTAAGTGTATGGCTATGTTCAAGCGTCAATGTTTAAATATGCAATGGTTGTGCAGTGAAACGAAAGGAGGTGAACCACTTTTGACAATTTTTGGTGAATACTAATTTTTGGTATACTTTTCATTAAAAATTTTATTATGGTAGAGGTCCGGTTATAATATGTGAGCATCGAAGAGGAATTGACAAACACGTCATAATAAGCGGACGTCGCTGCAAAACATTTGTGGAAATGAAAACCCTTTTGTGTAAGTATGTATATATACATACATATTAAATCAAAATCAAAATTGCAATAGTAAGCACATTATAACACATTCAAATTATATTTTTACTGCAAGTAATCTGTAATTTTGTCTGCTTTTGTTTTTCATTTAATTAATTTTCTTGTGATTTTCGAAACCTCTTCGGTTTCAAAACATTTAGATTGAACGATTGCTTAATGCGGTTCTTGTTTTTAAAAAGCATTGAGATTGTCAAATGACCCACTTAAATTCGGATTAATGGAAGTACGGAAGTCGTGGTCAGGTGCTGCTGCCCGAATGCTTATATTTATTATTTAAGCATTTGGTCTTTCCGATGGTAAATACATAAATGTAATTTGACAATCATAAAAAATGTAGCAATAAATATAAAGAAGTTCGCCACGTGTCCGAACGTCGTCGAATTATCCCAACGAACATTACCGGAGGTGTAAGAATCATGTTGGTCATTATAACCGAACACTTAATTTGTAAAAGTGGGTCATAATGGCGACGCATGTCACTGTAAGCGAAGTCGTTATATCCGACTTTTTTATACAGAATTTTATATGAAAACCAAACTTGGTAGTGTAGTTACGTCATAATAACCGGTTGGTCAATATAAGCGGAGTCATAATAAACGGATTCTACTGTATTTTGATTATAGTTTCGACAAATTCTTTGTAATTACACAAAAAACTCGAAAATGTAGTTGAACACATCGGTGCAAACATAATGGGAGGCTCAGGATTTATTGAATTATGGGGCACAGTTTACGTTACTAATTCAATTGAAAAAATGCTTCAGTGTTCGTCATTTTAGTTGCAAATTGAGGCATAGAGGAAATCAAGACAAGACATTAGTTATATCTAAAGCAATATTTGATATAGTCAACCAAAAAAATAATTTATTGGAACGAAGCACTCTTTTGCGCGTTGTGATATGAGGCTAGACGGAAAAAATTAAGACTAAAAGTTGTAACAAATGCTTTTGCTATAGTTGTAAGCCGTGCGACAGAGACAAACGTATTCGTTTATAGCCTGCGAAAGAATGAGATAGAACACAAATATGGTGTTCCCTATTATCTTCGTCTCTTCTTTGTGCGATGCTGTATTCTTTATTTCAATAAGATTTATCAGCAAGGTTGGCATTCGACACGAGAATTGTGTTTGTTTTCAACACAATTGACACTTTCCTATCGCATTCTCGTGTTTCGTCGCTGCCATCCCCTCACACCACACGTTGTCACGTCTTTTTAGTTTAGTTTTGATCGCAGGTAACGTGCCTATTGCAATTCGCGCACAAGGTCGCGTGTCATCGACGCGCGGGTTTTGCACACATCTCTTGCTTTCTTATCGTAGGCACAATAAGCGTCATTTGCTTGCTCAAACGGCAGCATATGAAAGATTTGCGACCAGTTTCGTGCCGATTTCTGGTTGATTCGAGCGTATTTCTCGCGTCGCGTATCGTTCGGACTTCTGTTTTCTAAATTTGCATTATACTCGATTAGCAAACCATTATTTAATTGTAACTGCTATAGAATTTGTTATTTAATATTTGCGGGTTTATCTATATATATAAAATTTGCGTGTCACAGTGTTTGTTTCCATACTCCTCCGAAACGGCTTTACCGATTTTTACCAAATTTTATATGCGTATTCAGTAGGTCTGAGAATCGGCTAACATCTATTTTTCCTTACCTAAGTGATAGAGTTTGTTCACCTTAACTTTTTTTAAATTTTGGACAAATTCTTTTGTTTTTATTTTTTTATAATGTGGAATTAAAAATACATACAACCCTAGAATTTTAGTTTTTATCACCAACCCTATTTCTTTATAGCCGGTTTGGTAGTTTAATCATTTTCATCCCGCTCAAAGAAAATTTACATATGCATTATTCATTGGGTCTGAAAGTCAGTAACTTCCTTATCTCTAAGTGATAAAGGGTTGTTCACCCACTTAATTTTTTTAAATTTTGGTCGAAATTTTGTTTTATTTTTAATGTGGCATTAAAATATACATACAACCCTAAATTTTTACGGTTCTTATCCACCAGCTATTTTTTATAATAAGTAAGTTACTTTTTGTCTACACTAAAATTTATCTAGAAACTAGAAATAAATTTATAGCAAGCAAAACAACGTTTTGCCCGGTTAACTAGTTGTCTTATAAATGCTGGTTAAAATTATTTTTCCGGGTGTCGAGTTGCATGTGAATCGGATCCATATCGCCCACCATGTTGATTCTATATTCAGCATTAAGATGACCCATCGTGCTGGTGTAAGTAACTTTTTAAACTGCACAAATTGTTTGTTTACCTCCGACGTGTGATTATAATGTTGTTATATTGTATGGAATGTTTTTGTTTCATCTTATATTTTTCATTTATTTACAGTGCCTGGGAATCCAGTTAGCCTCTGCATTGGTAAGTTTACAATTACATTATAGTTTCCTATCACTATATGCGTAGAATATTAGTGTGCATGTACGTATTAGAGTAGTTTCGCGTTATGTGTTTGCGTATTGCAAAAGGAGCACTGGGATAGTCGCGTGCCCTGATGATACATCTCAGAATTAACTGTTTAATGTTTCGCTGCCAACAAACGCGGCTGCTTTCGCTTTCATTTTCAAATTGACGATATTTCGGGAATCCTTTGAGATACTTTAGTTTTCTCCACGGCTTATGGTAGGGCAAGAGTCTATTTTTAAGATGCACCCCCAATCTCCCGCGAATTTCGATCGTAAAAGTTGGCTCTTTTCTTGCATTTTTCAAAACATGCGGTGGAAAACAGGTCATATATCGAGGACGAAAGCACATTGTATTTACAGTTTTTTCTATATTTTATGATAGGGCAAGAATGCATTTTCAAGATGCACCCCTGAATCACCGCGAAATACCGAAATACACCCTTCGTGATATTTTGGTTTTTTCTTTATTTTGTTATAGGGCAAGAGTGTATTTTTAAGATGCACCCCTGAACCCTCGCGAACTTTTGTCGTAACTGCCTCAAAATGGCCGCCAAAGTTTGCTCTTTTATTGCATTTTTTAAAACACAAGGTGGAAAACAAGCCATATCTCGGGAACCCTTCATGATATTTTGCTTTTTCTTTATTTTATTCATTTGAACAACTATTTTATGATAGAGGGCAAGAGACTGCATTTTAAGATGCGCCTGAAAACCCACTTGAAAAATAGGGATTTCTGTTTTTAAATTGTTGTCACTGTGGCGTTTCGAAGTCTCTTATTCAATCGCGTGCAGTTAAATCTTTGTTTAGTCTCACGCCGGAGTTTAGTTTCGATATGTATGTATTATTTGTAGATTTGAGCATGTACGTGTCTAGTAATTCTGTATTTAAAGGTAATTTAATTTTAGTTCTTGGTGAATTCTGCGCCAAATATTTGCCCAAGGATCATCTCCTGGCAGTACTGCCCGTCTTGTCCATGTGCCAGCTATCTTTATGCACTGTGAGAAAGAAAGGTAAAGTGCACATTTTCATTATTTTTATTTACAGCAATTTTTGTTTATATTCAATTTTATTTAATTCATATAATATCAAATTTGTATTCATGTCCACTTCTATTATGATTAATATTTATTTAATTTTAGAATTTGGAGCGTGCAACACCTACAGCGGTGGAAAATACCCTCGAGAATCGCCTGCCATCAATCAAAAGGACACCTTCCAGCTCTGCACCAGAGCAGCTGCGTTTCGAGGAGATGTGATACCTCTATAATTTGTCGCTTATCTTGCGCCCACACATTATTTTTTAAACCAGTACAAATAATGCGCACAGGGAAGGACACAAAAAAAACTTCCCAACTTTTAAACCACGAAGGCATTCTTTTAGTTGTCTTATAATTAGAATTGTATATATGTAGGGACCTTTGACAATTAATTTGATGAATGCTTGTGGAATAACATGCAGTGTAAACTCTTTATAACCATACTTACGAATATTTTTTGTTGATTTAAAAACTCATCCAGTCATTTGCAACAAAACCAATCTTGTAGATATTTCTAGGTCATTATGAAAACGGTTATCAAGAGTTTACATTGTACGTACTATATTAATCGCCTCGACTTTTATTGTATGATATTGTACCTGTCATGCTAATTGTTTGTTGTTGTGGTGTGTACGGATAAGGAGGTATTTGATAGTTACTTACACTGTTGTCTAAGCTTTTAACTCGCGAAGGGGGCGTCAGTAGAGATTTCAAATTAAATTCTCAGTGAGGTTGTATTAGTTTGTTGTCAGAGTGACCCCTGCAACAAAAGTAAATTCGAATTAGATTCTCAATGGGATTGTATTAGTTTGTTGCAGAAGTTGCGCCTCCATCATGTGTAAAGTCGAAAATTTGGGGGTGTAGTGGAATTTTCACTTAAAAAACAAAATTGTTAGGGTTTATTTTGGTATAGGTCGCAAAGAGGGCGGTTTAAAATTCCCATTAATTTAAAATTGCGATTGTCATTGCTTTGTTTAGGAAAGCTTCGGCTGCAGAGCGCGCAGTGGTATAATTGTATATATGACTAGTGGTGTTTTTTCTATGTACTAATGTGTTAGCTACTTGTGTTTATGTAGAATTTGTTGTAATATGTTATTTTGTTCTTGTAAGTGTATAGAGTGGCTGCTTTGTGCAACTTGTGTTGTGTGTCTTGTAGTTGTGTGTAAATTAATAAATGTCTGTTGTGTAGCATCTAGAAAGACTCCTTAGTTTGTGTATAAATAGTCTTGTGCGCGGCTTGTAAATGTAAACATGTTATTTGTTATCTGTTTGGAGTAGTTTGAATTACCTTGCAGTTGAATTGTGTTTAGGTGTGCCATAGTTGTTACTTGTTGATATGTCTATTGTATTATCCTTGCTGGTATAGGAATCTTTTAAGATATTGTTTAAAATATTTATTTATTATCCTTATTTCCCTCACCACAAGGACTGTCCCCACTAAGAAAATTGTTGATGTGCCTAAGAAACCGGGATGATCACGAAAAAACAAAACAATTTTGATTAAAGAGAAAAAAACTAATTGAGCCGCTTATTTTGAAAGTGACCTAACTCCGTTTTTCAGTTTTTTGCCGGTTACCATGGTTACATGTACAACTTCATGTTATTTATCAGGGACGCACTTCAGATTGCTTATATTCAGAGAAAATACGGTACATTTTTTACACATAGGTTTTTCGAATTAATTGAATAACTGACCCGTGTGGTTTTGAAAGTGGCTAACTCCATTTTATAGTTACATCAAAATTATTTACTATTATTAATGTCGGAAAGCAGCGATGAAGGTAATTTCAATTAGTGAGTATTTACAAGTCCACCTCATTTTTTGGGACAATTGCGTTGGTTAATTAACCTGTACGTTTTGTTGGTGTATATAAAACTTAAAATTTAATATTAGAATTATAGAAATTATTTGCAAGCATGAGGAAGAACCGAAGAGTACCACTTGGATTCAGATAGTGAAAAAGAAGTAGTAATTAATAATTTTTAAAAAGCGAATAAGAAAAGAGTTATAAAATAATATTCCTCGTCCAGGATGAAGATTCAAATAACAATGGAGAAAAGAATGATGCACCATATATCCAAAGTGCGAAAGATAAAACGGAATTCAGGAAAAGATATTGCAGTTAAACCGGAAGTATTGTTCATGAAAAAATTTCAGACAAAGATTGTGGTTGTCGGAATGCGTGCACAAAAAAATTATAATAATGAAGAAGAAAAGAAAAGGAAGATATTTTTGAGAAGTTTTTTGAGGTTTGGCAGATTTTTAACAAACAAATGTATTGCTTCACGAGAAGCTGCCTGTGAAACGAAGACGTTTTTTTTCTTAACAATTTGAAACTTATCTTAAATTGTATGTTGAATGGACTTGGGCATCTTCAAATTTTATAATGAATCAGGCTGTTAATTTTGAAAGTGGCCCAACTCCATTCTTGATAAGGAAACGCACGTTATTTACTTAATAATTGCCACTACTTTAACAGGAACAGTAAATTTAACATCCTAAGATACGCTTAAGCAGTATGACTCCTTTGTATCTTATACGTATATTTTTAAATTCATTGAAACGCAAAACTTTCAATATCTCGATTTGAAGATAAATGGAGTTAGGCCACTTTCAAAATAAGCGGCTCAATTAAATAGTGCAGGCGCTTTTACAGTCACAACTGACCGATGGAGAATTTAATGCCCCCTTCGCGAGCAATGATTAAAAAAGACGTACTACCTTGTAGGCTACCTTGTTTGGTAATATTTGTGGGACGGTGGGGGGTGGTAGAATGGGGCGGTTAAGAGCACGGCACGTACCTAAACACAATTAAAATGACAAAAACAATCGAATTTTCTAAAAATTAAACCCACTTAAAAGTACATACTACTCTGGTAACTGACACTTCAAAATAAAGCCGATCCTGTCTATATCAATCACGGCGCGAACATTCTGTGTATGCCACTTGAAACTTCAAGTCCGACCGACGGTTGCGCCACAAACACTTAATAATACCATACCGGTATTTCACGCGTTGCAACACTCAGGTTAATGTTGAAGATGATATAAATCTGCAAAATAAATTACATTATCAAGGGGAAGGGGTGTCATTATTTGTTTTATTTTAAATTGGGAGTCGACTGACGAAACGAATCAAATTCGATTTCTAATTTAGCACGTGACTGGGCCATCGGAACTCAAAGGCGATTGCTGAAACAGAGAAGAGAACGAAAGTTAGAACATTGCGTGAGCGATAGTGGAATTTACCGTACAAAATTGAATTAAAGCACATTACTAATGAACATAGGACGCAAATATTTTCTGTCCTACTCTAGCACAATATAAACTATAAAGACTTATGTGCCAATACTAATTCGTTTCAAACCAAAAAAGCAGAAAAAGTCGCCGCCATTAACCAAAAACGTCTTTTTGCTGAAAATTACATCAAATTTAACAAAATTATTATTAAAATAGTCGAAAAATGCGTTGAAATTTTATTGATAACCAATTTTGTTGACTATTTCACGCAATAAATTCAATTATTTTGCTTTAAAACAAATAATTACTAAATTTTTGGGTTTTTACGCGAACTGTCATCTGTCAAATCTGTCAAAAAAATGTTGGCTGACGTAATTGCTAGAAATTTAAACATTCTCCTTTAAAGACAAAAGTTTTTAAACTTTTTTTATGTAAAAAACGAGGCTACACTGTATTTCAATGGGGTTTACGCTTTCAATGTGTAAAATAGCTTCTTGGGTGTGTTATTCGTCTCTAGGCTCCTCCCGATGACAGAAATTCCATCTGGTAACTACAGTAGTAGTAAAATTACAATGTAAACTTTGTTACCACTTTAAAATTTTGATTATGATTACTCCCTTTGAATCATTTTATTTATTATCTTGTTTGTAATTAACGAAAGCAAGTTTTGAATGTGGCGATGATTGCAGAATGCTCGAGCGAATAGCATTGACATGACCTCGGCGGCGCGACGATTCTCGAACGGTATGCATATGCGACGACCGTTACATTCCAATATTTACACAGGTATAGAATGAGTACTTCAATAGCGCTCTCTGTAACGGTGACAAAATTCGGAGTCGTTTTCGAAACACGAGCTGAACGGGCACGCGAATTCAGGCGTTTATCGCCATTTTTATTTCTTCAATCTGAAAACTGTTTGCCAAATTCACCCCCTTCAACAAATTGTTATTAATTTACATTTTGTTTCCCTAGTGATGATTCCTTGCTATGAATTCCCATTCCTGCCCTAAAAGTAGTCCTCGAAGGCGGCCAAATCTGCGCACTCCCGCCACTGGAATACCACCCTGTCGCGGATGTCGCCCGCCATGTTCCGACGCACTCCTCTTCGACGTCTGCCGCTCCGGCCAGGCCGTAATGTGCGTCGCCATCGACTGGGATCCCACCGCACTCCACCTGCGCTACCAGTGTTCACGAGAGAAAGTCTGGCGCGAGCATGAATCCGTCTCGACCTGCCGCAAATTACACACCGAACCAATCGATCTGGATCATTGCCTCAAAGCATTCACATCCGAGGAACGCCTGGAAGCTAAATACCACTGCAGTAATTGTAAAGACAAGCTACCAGCAACCAAAAAGCTGCAGATATGGCGTCTGCCACCCATACTCATAGTCCATCTCAAACGATTTGATTATGTGAATAACAAATGGGTGAAAACTCAAAAAGTCGTCAATTTCCCATTCGGGAGTTTCGATCCAACTGGGTATCTTGCGTCTGTTCCACAAGAGACAATTCTACGCCATAAGCAGTTATTGCTGGATAAACGGAAAGAAGCTTCGATTGTCGAGGAGGATGAAGTGATTGCCGAGGGGAATTTGGTGGATATTGATGGAGAGGCGAAAACACTCGGTGAGAGTATAAAAACACAGATTGTCAAAGACAAAACTGGTGGTGGTGAAAAAGAAAAGACGATGTTAACCAAACGCCGCCAGCGACTGGAATCAACCAGTTTAATTAAAACACCAATCATCGATAAAGATCTACAGGATTTCCACAAACATAAACTTCAAGATGGCGCGGATCCCTTCGATCTGAATTATCAACTCTACGCTGTTGTGGTATCGAATAATATTTGTATTTTAACCTCAATATATTCATATTTAATATTTAACATTACAGAGTCATTCCGGGATGTTAAATGGTGGCCATTACATCAGCTACGCTTATAACCCGAATGGTAACTGGTATTGTTACAATGATTCGTCATGTCGTGAGGTTGGCAACATTGAAACGCCACCTGGTGGCGGCCCAGGTACTACCCTACCGAAAATTGACACCAGTTGAGCGTATATCCTCTTCTACGAACGTAAGGGTCTAGATTATGCGCCGTACTTTCCCGATGTGACTTGTAATGGCGGCCCGCCGCAAGTGGCGCCCACTGGTGCTGCAGCGCATGTCGATGATGAGTTCGACGACGGCGAGTCGGAGCTGCGCAAGCAATGCGTCATGCAATAATTCATGCATACCAAAAAGTCTAGGTTTAACTTTAACCGCATTACTGAGTAAATATTAGCGTGTTAGGTTGATGATAATGATAAGATTGCTTGTGATAATTTAAAGGATGTAAACGTGTTACATGTTTGCGTTTGTATTTATTATTGTATGAAATGTGTCTAAAATCTCTCACTCGTTCGCGGTGTGACGATGCGAAGTGCTTTTGTTTTTTGAAGGAAACTTGTTTTGCGCATAGGGTTAGAATTTTGTTTCCACTATGTATATGTACTTTGTATAGACGCAAAGAGTTATATTTTTATTATCGTGCAGGAGTGGTAAGTTCAAATACAATCGAAATATTTACCAGACACATGGCCAAACTCAGCACATGTTTGGTGTGGACATTGTGTAGACGGAAAGTACTCTTGTTATATTTATATTTACGTTAATGCCATTTATTATTATTATGATTATTATTATTCGTTATGCAATTTGTTAATTAGTCTGTAACGAGTGTGTGCGTGCGCAGTGAACCAAAGACGACGAAATTTCATATTCACTTGTTTCTTTCTCTTTATCTCTTAATGTCTAGATATGATGAATCGGTGTGTTGCGGACGTAACGATGCCATAACGATGTTTGAAATGATTGCAGACACTATTGCGGGACGGACACAGACAAGACACGATATGTATGAGGGGGTGTTGGCACTCGATTTTTGAAATTGTTTGTTTGGTTGCGGCCGAGTGTGGTGCGTGCATTAATATCACACATACGCAAAGTACGCAGAACATATACTGTAAAACTAACATATGTACACTATTTAGTCCAGTTTACATATTTGAATGCTGTGCAAATTATTATATAATTTAATGCGACGTTTGTGTTTTTTTGAATGTGTTTATATCGGTTGTTTTCGGGGATTGGTGTGTATCAGGTGCGATTTTGGCGCATATAGATCAATGTGATCTGTTATTTTTATTGAAAAGAGATAGATGTATGGTGTACTGTTGAGTGCGACTGAGACAAATTCGCTTGTCTCGATCAATGTGATATATATGATCCTCGGGAGTTTTGGTGTATTTTCGGCGAGCGCGGACTGTTGTGCGCCGGTACTGTTCAGTCGCGTGCCGTTCACGGTGCGGGTTGGACGTGTTTCGGGTGGGGTGCTGCACGTCGCTACGTGCACATTACCCTCAGCCATGTTTGCAAATATTTGAGTCATTTTAGTTTTGAACATCGTATTTTGTTACCTAGTTTAGTGATATCGTGAAGTGCATTAGGGAAGTGCCATCGGCAGCCATTTACAAGAAGGTAAAGATTTTAATTAATTACGTTTATGAGTGAATTGCACATAACTTTTAAATTTACTAAAATGTCCTGGCAATGCATCCTGCTCATTTCCGTGGAAGTTTAATAGAGTACAATTTTTTTATTGCAATATTGTAAATTTACATTACAATAATTATAACAACAATTTATAACATTACTCGTAAAATACAACTAGAATTGTTTTCGTTCTCTACGCTAGATACTTATCAATGATTTTTTGTTTTTTGCGTTAAGTTTGCCATCCTGCATGCGTCTTCGTTCTTGCAAATAGTGCGCATGAGTAACGGGATGCGCGCAGTCTTATCAGCCATTGCGCGGAATGCTTAATCGTAGTTTCGTGCCGGTTGTTGATCGTGTTAGACGCGTTTCGTGTCTTGTTCTTAAATTTTATTCAATAAGTGTTTTATTTTCGTTTATCGGTCACCTGTATTTACGAGTACTTGTGTTTGGCGTGTTTAGTGTTGTTAATGATTAATCGGGTGTCGAATATTAAAAATCTGTGCGTGTATAAATCGCCGTCGGCTCTTGGCGTCGTTGCATATTTGTTCTACGGGCGACCGCCATATTGTCCTTGTGAATTTTCCCAAGGAATTGCGTGGAAATCAAGAAAGAATTGTAAGTTCATAACTGCAACTTTGCTTAATTTTTCTTTATTGAAATAGATGTTTCTGCTTGCTTCATCTATTCGCGCATGCAACGTTCTAGAATTTTTATTAATACGCGTGCACGCCATGTTAGAACGACAAGAGATAAGATTTGTTGTTGTGCACATTCTTATCTATTTGCATGCGATAAATCCACCATCTCAAACCTGTGTTACCTTGTTCTGTATTGTTATATTTATATATGATTTAATTTTAGTTCTTGGTGAATTCTACGCGAAATATATACCCAAGGATCGTTTTCTAATCGACGGCATCATAATCGTATTCAGTAACGTTGCAGCTGTAGCGGCCATCATCTCCATCAAAAAGGTATAGTGCACATTTTCATTATTTTCCTTTATTGCAACTGCTGTTAACTTATTAGCTCAAATATTTTGTTGTTTTATTTATTTTATTATGATAATAATGATTGTTATTAGCTTTGAAATAAACATATTTTCCCGTGATTGTACATTTTTTGCATTTTTATTGTGATTAATTGTAATTTAATTTTAGCATTTGGAAATTTTGCGTGAAATATACGCCCGAAGATCGTTTTCTTATCGCTACCAGCTGTGATGGTTGCCACTTTTAAGATGTCGCCATTCACATTGGAAAAAGGTATAATACAATTTTTATTATTTTCCTGAAATTGTAAATTCTGTTTGTCAATTCAGTTTTATTTATACTTAACTTGACATTAACTTAGCATCACATATTTTTGACGTGATAACGTCTTTAAAATCGTTTTAGTCGGGTGACTGTTCAGAAACTGTGTCGCGAGGCCTCACGAGGCCGATCGCAGGTATACCCCCTCTCGTTATAACCTTAGGCTCGGCCGATAAAAAGTTTGTAGTGTGCGGGGAGCCTAACAGTAAAACAAAATGTGAAGTGCAAGTGAAGTGTTACAACAATTGCAACAAACAAAACTTATATCACCAATAAGACGTTATCACGTAAACATCTCGATCGTAAACCTACTTTACAAACAACCATTTTTTGTTTTAATATCAAATTTGTATATTTGACCACTGTTATCATTAAGTTTTATTTAATTTTAGTACATGAAGCGGAATATATACTCGAGGATTGTTTGCCCTTCGATCAGATCGCACATCATCCAACTTACTACTTCTTCAATGGCAGAGAAGTCTACCAGCGGGTGGAGACCTTGGAGGAGAGCAGCTGCCCTACGACGGATATCTCGGCCCGCCAAGAGGCGTTACCGACATCATTTTTTGCGCTCATTATTTAAAATCGAACAGATGACAGACACATTATTTTTTAAACCAGTGCAAATAATGCGCACAGGGAAAGACACAAAAAAAACTTCCCGACTTTTAAACCACGAACGCATTCTTTAAGTTCACTTATAATTAGAATTGTATATATTTAGGGACCTTTACCAATTAATTTGATGAATGCTAGTGGAATAACCTGCAGTGTAAACTCTTTATAACGATGATCAAAAGTCGTGCAATTAGTTTTTACTTCATTTAGTTCATTAGTTCATAAAGACGAGTTGTAAAGTTATTAAGAGTTTATATTGTAATGCAAATTTAGTCGCCTTACGACTTGAACTGAAAACTGGCAGTGTTGTCTCTGTATCGCTATTACTTGGAATCATGTAATTTATTGACTGCGCTTTATTATTTGTTAGAAGTAATGCGTAATGGATAGTATTGGGTAATTGTCGCACTGCTGTCTAGGTTTTGATCGCGAGGGGGGCGTTTTAAAATTTCACTTGCTCGTGAGGAAAGCGTCTTTGAAATAATCACCGCTACATGTGCTACATGTGCTACATGTTGCTACATGTGTAAATTCGAAAATAGGGTGGTTCAGTGGGATTTTCACTTGAACTGTGAAATTGTTTTAGTATTTTTGGTATAGCTCGCGAATGGGGCGGGACAGAATTTTCAGCGCGGTCTCTAGAGATGACGAATAGATTCTTCGCGTTATTATATTAGTTTGTTGCTGAAGTTGCATCTGCAACATATGTAAATTTAAAAATTGAGGGGTTCAGTTACATTTTTACCCAAAGGGTAAAATAGTTCGTTTTTCGGTATAGCTCGCGAAGGGGCGGTTTAGAATTTTTAGCGCGGGCTCTAGAGACATCGAATTAAATTGTCCGCGGGGTTGCTAAATTCTAAAATAAGGTGGTTCAATAGAATTTAAACCTGAAGGGTGAAATTATTGGCTTTTTTTTTGGTGTAGTTCGCGAAGCTTAGAATTCTCAGCGCGGTCTCTAGAAAAGTCTAATTAGATTCTCGGCGCGGTTGTCATTGTTTGTTATAAAAACTTCGGCAGCAGTGCGTACAGTGGTAAATTGTGTATTAGCGTGTCCTCCTGTCTTCCGCATTTCCTATCTTTTGTGCCTTTGTGTTGTCCAAGTAGAACTTGAAATCTTGTTTAATTGTGTATATGACTTGTGTATGTTGTTTTTCCTATGTACTAATGTGTAGTTATATTTGTTGTCATGTATGTTTTGTATTATTTTGTTCTTGTAAGTGTATAGAGTAGCTGCATAGTACAGTAGTTTGTGTTTTAATGTTTGCTTGCACCTTGTATTGTGTGTTTTAATGTCTTTTGTTGTTGTGTGTAAATTAATAAATGTCTATTGTGTAGCATCTAGAAGTAGTGTTAGTTTGTGTATAAATCGTAATGTCCGTGTCTCGTAAATGTGAAATGTAAACATGTTATCTGTTTAGAGTAGTCGTATGACTTGCAGTTGCTTTGTGTTTAGCTGTGCCATAGTTGTAACTTGTTGATATATTTATTGTGTTATCTCTGCAGGTATAGGAACCAGTATTGCAATAGCAATACTAGTAACACTGTGTTGCCCATGCAACACAGGTAGTATGGTATTGCTATGGCAGTACAAGTAACATGTCTTGCTGTTGCAATGCAGTATGTATAGGTATCAATAAAGAAGTCTTCTAATATATTGTTTAAAATATTTATTTATTATCCTTATTTCCCTCACCACAAGGACTGTCCCCACTAAGAATATTGTTGATGTGCCTAAGAAACCCGGGGATGAAGCGTAGAGACATCGCAGCTGTAGGTTGGGGCCGGCAATTATTCTTTCTTTAGTTAACGCACTCGAAGTGGTTAACTGTCTCATTGAACGCGTTCTCGAAGTGGTCCGCCGATAAGTTCGGAGCGCCGCAGGCGTTCGACTACAAGACCGACACGCCAAAATCCGAATGAAAAATTACGCATTTTTCATGGATATTTTGCAAGTTTGGACTTGTAAAATTAAAATCTGAAACATAAAATAAGATATTGTTAGTTTATATTTTCAAGTTGGCAATTTTACAACCAATTAATTGGTGAGATAAATATTCCGCGCTGAAAATTTATATTTGCCCCAAAGGGTAAAAATACTAAATAAATACGCTATTTACGAAGCTACGCGCGATACAGTATTTAATTAAGTTCTTCTGAATAACAAAAAATGACAACAAATTAACACGAGGGAGAAAACAACATTTAAATACCGTTTTTTCGACTCTACTCGCGTGCAAGGTGAATCCTGCAACGCATACAACCCCACGAAGAATTTAATTCTACATCCCTGGACAATGCGCACCCCGTTCGCGTTTTGCCCCAAAGGACAAAAATACCAAATACCCTATTTACGAATTTACGCGCGTTGTAGTTTCCTTAACAAACAAATATAGAAGCATATACAATTAAATTCTGTACCTTTTAAGAACGAAATATAGCAACAATTAACGCGAGGGAGATAAAAATCTATAAACAACGTTTTTTTTAATCTACACGAGGTCAAGACGCTTCCCATGCAACGCATACAACCCCATGGAGAAATTCTACATCGTTAGAGAACGCGCAAAAATTCTAAAGTGCCCCGTTCGCACACAATCACAAAAAAAAATTCCAGCAAGAAGAAAATACTACTTAAATAAGAGCTCGTTGGAGAATTTAATTCCGCAGCTAATGACGGCGCGATCAAGTTTGTATGTGACGCCCCGATCGCGTACAATGACTAAAAAGACGTACGTATTACGAGCACGTTTGGATAAGTACAAAACAAACACTGAATAATGCCATACCAGTATTTCTAATTTAGATCGTGACTCGGCCGTCGGAACCTGAAGGCGATTGCTAAAACAAAGAAGAGAACGACAATTAGAACATGGTGTACAAGTTGAGATAGTCTAAGGCAGAAACATAACACGCAATAAAACTGCTCTGCGAATTGTAGAATATGATTACTACCTTCTAATATTCTATTAAATGCGGCTAGAAAACTTGTTTATATACAAACAAGCGATAGTGGAACTCCACGAGCGAAATCGTATTAAAAACAATCGAACATCACTACGCGATTATATCTGTCCTACTCGAGCACAATATAAACATATCTATCTATCACGCTTCCACGCACAGGAGGCAACTTCTTCACCATCAAATTACGGACATGCCATAGGTATTGTCACATGGCATATTGGAACTATATGGCCACTTGCGACAGTACTAAATATATGCAAATGTATTATAATACAAAATTAAGGAAATACCATAAGTATTGTCACATGCGTCTATTGACATCATATGACCACGCGCCACAGTACGAGTACAAATTATATGCATAAAAATTATGCCAATAATAAGAAATAGACAATAAATATATGACATATATTCTCATCGTAGAATACGTAATCCATTGTGAACATTACTTTTATTTAAATTTAATGTGATTGAATCACATTTTAATTGAATTAAACATGTTTTACCGCAAAGGCAACGTCAGCAACTAACACGTTTAACTGTAATAAAATGTAATTCAATCACGTAACATTTACATAAATAAAATATGACAATTCATGTTACAAACAAAAATAACTGACAATCACTGATCTATATACAGATAGAAGTACTCGTAAACGTGCATAAATAAAAATGGATCATTTAAAATATCATAAAGGATCCCTAAGATATGGCCATTTTGCGGTAGTTACGACGGAATTTCGCGTGGGTTCAGAGATGCATCTTAAAGATGCACTCTTCTTCTATCATGACATATAGCGAATAATGACAATATCACTTCAAGGCCCCGAGATATGGCCTATACTTTCCACCGCGCCAGAAAAATGCAAGAAATGGGCAAACTTTGGCGGCCATTTTGAGGCAGTTACGACCGAATTACGCGGGGGTTCCGAGGTGCACCTTAAAGATGCACTCTTTATCTATATTATTATAACATATCGCAAACACGAAAATATCACGAAGGGTTCCCGAGATATTAGCCTGTTTTCCACCGCGTGTTTGAAAATGCAAGGAAAGGGGCAAACTTTGGCGGCCACTATGCGCCATGACCGAATTTCGCGGTTCCTGAGGTACCCAAAGATGCACTCTTTCTATCAAGGTGTTACAGCAAACACGAAAATATCACGAAGGGTTCCTGAGATATGGCCTGTTTTCCACCGCATAAGTTTTGAAAATTGCAAAGAAAAGGGCAAATTTTAGCGGCCATTTTGAGGCAAGCAGCGCTGTCTTAAATTTCAGGAAACCTGGAGAGGTGCATCTTTAAAGATGCACTCTTTTTTCTATCATAAAGCATAGCAAACACGAAAAATATCACGAAGGGTTCTCGAGATATGGCCTGTTTTCCACCGCGCGTGTTTTAAAAATGCAAGAAAGGGCAAACTTTGGCGGCCATTTTGAGGCAGTTACGCACCTTCGCGGAGTCCTGGGTATCTTTAAGATGCACTCTCTTTTTCTATCTTAAACATAGCGAACAATGAAAAATACCACGAAGGGTTCCTCGAGATATTGCCGGTTTTCCCCTCATGCGTTTTGAAAAATGCAAGAAAAGGCACACTTTGGCGCCAATCGGAGACAGTGCTTACGACCGAATTTCGTGGGCACCAGAGATGCATCTTAAAGATATTAATTTTTCTATCAAAACATATAGCGAACACAAAATATCACGAAGGGTTCCTGAGATATGGCCTGTTTTCCACCGCGTGTTTTGAAAATGTGCAAGAAAAGCGGGGCAAACTTCTTGGCGGCCATTTTGAGGCAGTTACGACCGAATTTTGCGGGGGTTTCAAGGTGCATCTTAAAGATGGACTCTTTTTCTATCATAAAGCATAGCGAACACGAAAATATCACGAAGGGTTCTCGAGATATGGCCTGCTTTCCACCGCGCGTTTTAAAAAAGCAAGAAAAGGGCAAACTTTGGCGGCCATTTTGAGGCAGTTATGACCGAATTTTGCGGAGGTCTCCAAGGTGCATCTTAAAGATGCGCCTTTTTCTATCATAAATCATAGCGCGAACACGAAAATATCACCAGAAGGGTTCCTGAGATATGGCCTGCTTCCACCGCGTGTTTTGATAAATGCAAGAAAAGGGCAACCGCGCCATTTTGAGGCAGTTACGACCGAATTTCTGCGGAAACCTGAGGCATCTTAAAGATGCACTCTTTTCTATCATAAAGCATAGCAACACGAAAACATCACGAAGGGTTCCTGAGATATGGCCTGTTTTCCACCGCGTGTTTTAAAATGCAAGAAAAGGCAAAATTTTGGCGGCCATTTTGAGGCAGTTACGACCGAATTTCAAGTGGGGTTCCGGGGTATCTTAAAGATGCACTCTTTCTATCATAAAACATAGCGAACACGCAGTGCATTCAGAAGGGTTCCCGAGATATGGCCTGTTTTCCACCGCGTGTTTTAAAATGCAAGAAAAGGCAAATTTTTGGCGGCCACTGGAGTTACGACCGAATTCCTCGCGGGGGTTCCGAGGTGCATCTTAAATATGCGCTCTTTTCTATCATAAATCATAGCTAACACATCACGAAAATATCACGAAGGGTTCCTTATATACCTGTTTTCCACCGCGTTTTGAAAAAATGCAACAGGGCAAAACTTTGGCGGCCATTTTGAGCAGGTTACGACCGAATTCCTTTTCATGGGTTCCGAGGGGCATCTTAAAGATGCGCCCTTTTTCTATCATAAATCATAGCAAACACGAAAATATCACGAAGGGTTCCCAAGATATTGCCTGTTTTCCACCGCGTGTTTTGAAAAATGCAAGAAGAAGGCAAACTTTGGCGGCCATTTTGAGACAGTTACGACCGAATTTCGTGGGCGTTCAGAGGTGCATCTTAAAGATACACTCTTTTTCTATCAAAACATATAGCGAACACAAAAATACCACGAAGGGTTCCCGAGATATTGCCGGTTTTCCCCCGCGTGTTTTGAAAAATGCAAGAAAAAGGCACACTTTGGCGGCCAATTTGAGACAGTTACGACCGAATTTCGTGGGCGTTCAGAGATGGCCCCAAAGATACATCTCCTTTTCTATCAAAACATATAGCGAAATACAAAAATATCACGAAGGGTTCCTGAGATATGGCCTGTTTTCCACCGCGTGTTTTGAAAATGCAAAGAAAAGGGCGAAACTTGGCGGCCATTTTGAGGCAGTTACGACTGAATTTTGCGGGGGTTTCCCAAGGTGCAATCTTAAAAGATGACTCCTTTTTCATCATAAAGCATAGCGAACACGAAAATATCACGAAGGGTTCTCGAGATATGGCCTGTTTTCCACCGCGTGTTTTAAAAAAAGCAAGAAAAGGGCAAACTTTGGCGGCCATTTTGAGGCAGTTATGACCGAATTTCGCGGAGGTTCCAAGGTGCATCTTAAAGATGCGCTCTTTTTCTATCATAAATCATAGCGAACACGAAAATATCACGAAGGGTTCCCGAGATATGGCCTGTTTTCCACCGCGTGTTTTGAAAAATGCAAGAAAAGGGCAACTTTGGCGGCCATTTTGAGGCAGCATGACTGAATTTCGCGGGAGATTCCGAGGCATCTTTAAAGATGCACTCTTTTTCTATCATAAAGCATAGCAAACACGAAACATCACGAAGCGGTTCCTGAGATATGGCCTGCTTTTCCACCGCGTGTTTTGAAAAATGCAAGAAAAGGGCAAATTTTGGCGGCCATTTTGAGGCAGTTACGACCGAATTTCGCGGGAGTTCTAGGGTGCATCTTAAAGATGCACTCTTTCTATCATAAAACATAGCGAAATAATGAAAATATCACGAAGGGTTCCCGAGATATGGCCTGTTTTCCACCGCGTGTTTTAAAAAATGCAAGAAAAGGGCAAATTTTGGCGGCCATTTTGAGGCAGTTACGACCGAATTTCGCGTGGGGCCCTGAGGTGCATCTTAAATATGCGCTCTTTTCTATCATAAATCATAGCACACGAAAAAATACGAAGGGTTCCGAGATATGGCCTGTTTTCCACCGCGTGTTTTGAAAATGCAAGAAAAGGGCAAACCTTGGCGGCCATTTTGAGGCAGTTACGACTGAATTTGCGTGGGGTTCTGAGGGCATCTTAAAGATGCGCCCTTTTTCTGCACGCAAATCACAGCAAAACACGAAAATATCACGAAGGGTTCCCAAGATATTGCCTGTTTTCCACCGCGTTTTGAAAATGCAAGAAGAAGGCAAACTTTGGCGGCCATTCTGAGACAGTTACGACCGAATTTCGTGGGCGTTCAGAGGTGCATCTTTAAAGATAATAATTTTTCTATCAAAACATATAGCGAACACAAAAATAGCACGAAGGGTTCCCGAGATATGGCCTGCTTCCACCGCGTGTTTTGAAAAAGAAAAGGCAACTTTGGCGCCATATTTTGAGGCAGTTATGACCGTGAATTCCGCGGGGTTCTGAGGTGCATCTTTTAAAGATGCGCTCTTTTTCTATCATAAATCATAGCGAACACGAAAAATATCACGAAGGGTTCCCGAGATATGGCCTTGTTTTCCACCGCGTGTTTTGAAAAATGCAAGAAAAGGGCAAACTTTGGCGGCCATTTTGAGGCAGTTACGACTGAATTTCGCGGGGTTCCGAGGTGCGTCCAAAGATGCACCTCTTTTCTATCATAGCAAAGCATAGCAAACACGAAAATACCGGCCGAAGGTTCCTGGAGATATGGCCTGTTTCCACCGGGCGTGTTTTAAAAATGCAAGAAAAGGCAACCTTGGCAGCCATTTTAGGCAAAGCGACCGAATTCGCGAGTCCTGGGTGCATCTTAAGATGCACTTTTCTATCATAAAACATAAAGGAACACGAAAATATCACAGCGTTCGAGATATTGCCTGTTTACCGCGTGTTTTGAAAATGCAGGAAAAGGCAAACTTTTGGGCGGCCATTTGAGGCAATTACGACCGAATTTCGTGGGCGTTCAGGAGGATGCATCTAAAGATATACCTCTTTTTCTATCAAAACATATAGCGAAATTTCCACAAAATACTACGAAGGGTTCCGAGATAGCCCGTTTTCCACCGCGTGTTTTGAAAATGCAAGAAAGGGCAAACTTTGGCGGCCATTTTGAAGCAGTTATGACCGAATTCTCATGAGGTTCCGGAGTGCATCTTGAAGCTGTACTCTTTCTACTCATAGAACATAAAGGAATCAATAGAAAATATCACAAAGCCCTGAGATATGGCCCAAACGCCTTAAAAGGCAAATTTTGCCGGCTATTTTGAAGCAGTTACGACCGAATTTCGCGGGCGTTCAGAGATGCATCTTAAAGATGCACTCTTTTCCTATCACAACATACAGCAAACACGAAAATATCACGAAGGGTTCTCGAGATATGGCCTGATTTCCACCGCATGTTTTGAAAAATGCATGAAAAAGTACAAACATTTTCATTCCTTTCGTTTTCTATATTACCCGCAAGTAAAATTGACATGGCACCCTTAATTCGCGAGCTATAGCAACACGCAAGTGAAAGGTCGTAACATGAAATAATATAATTTAATTATAAACTCACCAATTCAGCGCTCATTGGATTGCACGAGGATGGCAAGCTCTGCAATTAAAAGAAAACATAAGTTAAAACAAAACCATTTCATTCAATATAATAAAATTATATTCACACATCAGAGAAAACAAATATTATGTGCTGAGTATTGCAATGGACAGATAAACGTTACCTACTCAAGCACGAGGAATCTCCTAATGACGGGGAGCAACATGGCAGTAATATGTGTCCGATTAATCTAGCGACCGACAACGTTAACAACAATCGACAATAAAGCACCGACTTCTTGTAATTTCGAATACAAGCATAAAACGCGAGCAGAATTTAGAAAGCAGAAGTCCGAATAAACGATTTGAATCGCGAGAAATACGTCGAGATTCGCCAGTGACCGGCACGAAACCGGCTGCAATGCTTAAGCAACGATGCGACAGTTCACAGTAAGACTTGCACTTGCTGCATGAACCGCGCACGTACTCGTAAAAGCAATATAGTACATATGTGTATAGTCGGCGCGTCGATCCCACGCCACATTGTGCGCGAATTGCAATAGACACGAAACCTGCGATCAAAACTAAGCTAAGATGCAGCAACACGCGGCGTGAGGTGCTGGCAACGACGACACACGGCAATGCGCTAAGAAAGTGTATATTATGTTCAAACACAATTCTTTATTTTACAATTTTTAGTCCATGCTATTGCCACTCGTATAAGTGATATAGTAGTTTCGAAATTTACATTAGTAAAGGTAATAAAAAATTAAAATTCGATTAGCGTAATTCAGTTTTCGTATGCTGACAGATTGCCAGATTTTACATTAAATATTTAAGTGATATTTAATTTAAACATGCATCGTTTCTCGTTTACCATGTAACACATTAGTCCGTCATCATTTGTTGATAATAAAAATTATTAGAATTAATATAAAATTGTTCGTTATATTCATGAAAGAATTGAAGAATATTTGCTTAAATTTACGATGCTAATATAATAAACAGAAACGGTGTGTTTTGATTCCACGAAATAAAGATTCGATACCTCCAGGTAAACAAACTTATCTCTTGCGCGAAATCGCGTGATCGCACACGGACTCGATGTGCACTTACTACCACCAACAAGCAATATTTAATGCAAAACCGTACCTCGTAGCGCCATCTAACCTTAGAAAATATTTATCAACTTCAAAACACATTGTCAAATATGCAACAAAAATATGCAAAAAATAAATTTCAATACAGGGTGATACAGAAATAAATTTTGCATCAGGGAACATAATTTCGAATTTACTGTGACACGGCGTTCGCGTGTTATAACAAAAAAACTACAATACCTAGCGCAATGAGTACTACGGCGCACACACACAACTCTCATTATAACTCGCGTTACGGAATCTTCTGGCAATAAATTTTAATACAGGGTGATACAGAAAAAAATTCTGCATCTATCAAAACATATAGCAAACACGAAAATATCACGAAGGGTTCCCGAGATATGGCCTGTTTTCCACCGCGTGTTTTGAAAAATGCAAGAAAAGGGCAAACTTTGGCGGCCATTTTGAGGCAGTTACGACCGAATTTCGCGGAGGTTCCGGAGTGCATCTTGAAGATGTACTCTTTTTCTATCATAAAACATAGCGAACACGAAAATATCACAAAGGGTTCCCGAGATATGGCCTGTTTTCCACCGCGTGTTTTGAAAAATGCAAGAAAAAGGCAAATTTTGCCGGCTATTTTGAGGCAGTTACGACCGAATTTCGCGGGCGTTCAGAGATGCATCTTAAAGATGCACTCTTTTTCTATCCAAACATATCGCGAACATGAAGATATCACGAAGGGTTCCCGAGATATGGCCTGTTTTCCACCGCGTGTTTTGAATAATGCAAGAAAAGGGCAAACTTTGGCGGCCATTTTGAGGCAGTTATGACCGAATTTCGCGGGGGTTCCGGGCTGCATCTTAAAGTTGCACTCTTTTTCTATTATAACATATCACGAACACGAAAATATCACGAAGGGTTCCCGAGATATGGCCTGTTTTCCACCGCGTGTTTTGAAAAATGCATGAAAAAGTACAAACATTTTCGTTCGCTTCGTTTGCTATATTACTCGCAAGTAAAATTGACATGGCACCCTTAATTCGCGAACTATTGCAACACGCAGGTATGAGGTAATAAAACATGTGACGTAATAATATAATTTAATTATAAACTTACCAATTCAGCGCTCATCGGATTGCACGGGTACGGCAAGCGCACTGCAATTAAAAGAAAACATAAGTTAAAATAAAATCATTGCATACAATATAATAATATTATATTCACACATCGGAGAAAACAAACATTCTGTGCTGAGTATCGCAATGCTCAGATAAATGTAACTTACTCATGTACGAAGGGTCCTCTTAATAACGGGAAGCAACGTCGCAGCAATATATTGTCGATTTATCCGGCGACCGACAACGTCACACAATAACCGACAATAAAACCGTAGCATTCTTGTAATTTGGAATATAAATATCAAACGAGAGCAAAAAAAAACATTTATGGACACTAAACGCGCAAACAATTATTAACAGGTTACTATTGCCGCCAGTTGCTACTGGCAGAAACGCGTCTGAACGACGAACTAGAGACCGACACGAAACTGGCTGTGATTGCACATATTGAAGCCGAGCAAGCAACGACGCGACAGTTCACGATAAGACTACTCGTATGTGCCTGCTGCATGAACCCCGCTGGTAAAAGCAATACATGCGCAAAGCCATTTTGCGCAATGGCACGCGACCCTGTGCGCGACTTGCAAAAGATGCGCAAAACCGGTGCGTCGATGACACAAGACATTGTGCATGAATCGCAATAGGCACAATACATGGGATCTAATCTAAACTCGAATTATGCTGCATGAGGCGTGAGGGGATTGCAACGACGACACTCTGAAATCTCATGCGCTGCATTCCGCGCGGCGACTAAACGATAAGAAAGAGTGAATTGTGTTCAAAACAAACACAATTCACGTGCCAAATGTCTATGTTTGCTAATAAAAATAGAAATGAACAAAACAATTCTATTTTATGATGTTTAGTTCATGCTAGTGACATCTCTGAATGATGCAGATAGTAGTCCGGCAATTAGGATTATTAAAACTAATGAAACATTAAAAGTTAATTTGTGAAATTCTAATTTCATATGATGAAACATTGCCTGATTTTCTGCATCATTTTTTTCTATAATTTTCGGTAGTGAATATCTTCTAAACTAAAAAAGATAGCGGCTAGCGGAATGAATATTATAAAAGATTATAAAAGACATTATAAAAATAAGAACATAAAATAATTAAATATTGCAAGGTGAAAGGTCTAAAAACGCAACTGAAAGTGCTAAAAATTGAAATTTATCAATTCAGGACTATAAGATAAGAATCAAACATAATAAAATTTCGTAGGGTTCAATTGGGAATACAATCTCGTAAACTGTAAGCGGTAGAAAGGAACGGGTTGAAAATTATTAATTTATGAGATATTCCCTATAAGACAAAGTATTGAAATACTACATGCGGTACCTCAGCCAAACAAACAAAATCGCAACAATCCCTGATAAGACTACCTGCTGCCCGAAAGTGTAAAGTCGGCGCACAGATGGCGCGCGACTTGTGCGCGAATTGCAATAGCCATGTTACCTCCGATTTAAACTAAACTAGACTATACTACATGAGCAAGTTGGTGCAGCGTGAAGAGTCGGCGCGCGGGACACATGCGATAAAAAAGTTGTTTATACACAAATACAGATAACAACATTGTGTTTAAAACTAAACACAATTTTCGTGCCGAATGCCCACGTTTGCCGATAAATATAAGAATAAGCCGTATAACTAGATTTTTTGATACTTTAGTGCAACCTAGTGCTATCTATAAATGCTACCGATAGTAGTTACGAAATTTAGATTAATAAAATTAATAAAACAATTAACTTCAAATCATGAAATTATGATTTTTATGCTAATTTTACATCAAATATTAAAATGATATGTCATTCAAACATGTATTGTTTCTGTTCTATTTCGGTTTATATTTGAGCAAAGTACAAATCCAAAAATTTATTGTGATTTGTCAAAACGTGAATTCTAAACACAATTTTTATTAAAATAAAAGGCTCAGAAAAAGTGTTCTGCTGAAAAGTATTTTCACATTAGATCAAATTACGGGAAAACTATAAGTCTAAGAATAAAATTTTACTGAAATAAAGTGCTCAGGACGATTTTTTATAGCAACATCCAAAATAAAAAGTTTAAATTTAAAAAATTTAATTTTTCTGTGGAAAATGTGGGTTCACATTTGATCAAATTATGGGAAAACTATAAGTCTAAGAGTAAAATTTTATTAATATAAAATGCTCAGGAGCACTTTCTATAGCAACATCCTTAATAAAAATTTTAAATTCAAAAATTTAATTTTGCTGTGGAAAGTGTAAGTTCACATTTGATCAAAATGCGGAAAAATTAAAGGTCCAAGAGTAAAATTTTACTACAATAATATGCTCAGGGACATTTGTTATAGTAAATTCCAAAATAAATGCTATTAATTTACAAATATAATTTTTCTGTGGAAAATGTAAGTTCACATTTGATCAAATTGGGGAAAAATTATGAGTCCAAGAATAAAATTTTACTAGAATAAAATGCTCAGAGGGACCTGTTATAGCAACTTTCGAAATAAAAACTTTAAATTTACAAATTTAATTTTTCTGTGGAAAATGTAAGTTCACATTTGACCAAATTGCGGAAAAACTATTAGTCAAAGAGTAAAATTTTACTACAATATAATGCTCAGAGGGACCTTTTATACCAACTTCTGAACTAAAAACTTTAAATTTACAAATTTAATTTTTCTGTGGAAAATGTAAGTATATATTGTATCAAATTGCGGGAAAACTATGATCCCAAGAATAAAACTATACTACAATAAAATGCTCAAGGGGACCTTTTATAGCAATTTCCAACATAAAAACTATAAATTTACAAATTTAATTTGTCTATGGAAAATGTAACTTCACATTTATTCAAATTGCGGGAAAACTAGGAATCCTAGAGGAATATTTTACTGTGATAAAGTATTCAAAGCGATGTTTTATTGAAGCATCCGCAATAAAAAAAAGTTTGAATTTCCATTTTCAAATTCTCTGCGGAATACTTGCAAGAAATTTCCACAAAAAGATGGTTAAGTAGTTTTCTAATTTACTAATTGCTAAAATACTAAAATGATGAAAAAATGTACTTACCAGTGAATCATACACTGCAAATCAAATGCGAGTATATACTGAAATAAACAAGAAACAAAGCATTAGTTACACCTCTTCGGACAATGTTGAAATAAATCTGAGTTCCGGAGGAACCCTGAATTTGTCTTAAATATCTTATTCACCCTAATTATTTAAATAATAATATTTACCAGGTCGAACAACCGCCCGTCGAGTTTTGCTGAAGACAAAAATGGTTCGCACAAGTACAAAATATTTACAATCACACAACATGGCAGGCCGACGTCCGACGATAACCGATCACGAATACACGCGAAAATGTAATAAACCCACGAAACCGAAGATTACACCCGCGATAAATATTTAGCGAATGATTAAATACGGCAATTAGCCGTAGAATTAAATCTATTAAGTATAACGCGATATACCGAATTTACAACACGAAACACTCAAGTATCATTACTTATCGCACGAAGTAAGAGCTGCACGCCGGCATCACAACAACTGTGCACGCCAACTATCACTCGAAGGAATATTTTTTAGTTGAAATTACAATGGTGGGCATGGAGGAAAGGCGGAGCATGGGCTGGCGAAGTTGGCGCAAACACCAGCCATACGCTATACCCTCACAATATCGCCAAAACGATATTTTTACTAAACCATTGCAAGTCAAATGCAAGTAGGTATTTGTCAAGCCTGATGTGGGATAGCTATTTCGACCATTAGAGGTCTCATCAGCACACCTTACTTGCATTGACTTTGCAATGGTTTAGTAAAAATATCGTTTCAAGTGATATTGTGAGGTATATGCGTAGCTGCGGTAAGTGTTTACTTAACTTTACTTAGCTTATACTCACCCCTCGTACTCACCATTGTATTTCAATAATTATGCTTGCCTGAGCTAACTTCAGTCTCCACCGTCAGGTGGAGCTGACAATACTTCTGCGTCTTGAATTATAAGCCAGTTGTATATAAGCCATGGCAGGTCAATGCAGTATTTGCTTTTTTTTTACTACCTACGCAGTATTTGTCGCTAAAATGTGATGTTTATAAAAATTGGGATTTAATTTTTTAATGTAATTTGAAATTGTTTCGCAGCGCGTACGTTCATGAATAATTTTGATGCTAATTCGAGATTGTCGCGAGATTTTGAGTATGTTCCTGAGAATCGCGTTTTGGAAAATTTGCATTTTGGATTTAGTTGTTTTTGCAGCAAGTTCAGTTACTTGTGATCCGTACGTTAAAATTGGAAGAATGTATGATTTGTAGATTTGGGTTTCAGATGCTTTTACCTTGAATGGGTCCAAGAAGGGGGTATAATTTCTGTTTTGGTAATTTGGCTTTGCATAAGGCTGAAGAGATGTGTGTTTTTGAAAGTTAATTTTGTCAATAATTACGCCTAAATGTTTAGGTCGGGTGGTGTTTCTGGGATGTTTAAATTGTTTAAAGAAGGAGTAGATTGATGATTCTGGATTTTCTGGCTGCTTCTTCGAAGTAGGTAATTGTGGATTTTCCGGGTTTGGGAGGAGTTTCCACTTTGGTAATACATTTGGAGTTTGTTTAGGTGTTGTTGGGTGTATTTGTTAGCTTGAGTGGTTTGAGATGATGTAGTGATGATTGCGGTATCATCAGCAACAAGGCAATATCGGTATTTGATCGGTGGTGGAATGTCGTGTATAAATGTTGTAAAGTTAGAGAAAAGTACGCTGCCTTGTGGGACCCTCTGCGGTTAATTTTATGAGTTGGAAAAAAAGTGTTTTGAAGTTTTACTTGAAAAGAGTGACGGTTCGTAGTAGTTGCAAAATAGCAGATTAGATTTTTGGGATAATTTAAGGCTTATAAATTCAACGCGTCACAAATAGTGTCGAATGCTTTGTTAAGTCTATTGTGTGCTAAAGAGGTGGTTTGTTCAGATTAGTGTTAATGGTGATTTTGTTAATAATTCCCAGCTATTTGCATGTTAGTAGAATGATGTTTGTGCTTCAAATTGGGAGTCAGGTATAAGTTTAAGTAATTGGGTGTCTGTGTGCCCCCGCGCCCCTTTCACTTGTTTTTGAAATGAAAAGATTTAAACTAGCTTAAATAGTACGAGTGTCCGGTGCTAGGTGCCGTCCGGCGTTACGGGACTTCCCCCTACACTTTCAGCACGATCAAAAACTGGCCGGACAATAAACGCACAAATAGTAAATAACATTACTATAGTTGCAAGATTAATTTAATTGTCGATTGATAATCGAATACAACGCGAATTTGGAAAGTAGAAACCCGAATCAACCAAAGACCGGCACGAAACTGGCTGCAAACTGTGCAAGCAACGACACGTTCGTTTGTGATAAGAAAGCAAGAGATGCGCAAACCCTGTGCGTCGATCGCACGCGACCTTCAGTGCGAATCGCATGTAGCACGTTACCTGCGTTCAAAACTAAACTAAGATGCGCTAACATGCGGCGTGAGGGGATGGCATCAGCCGACACTCGGGTTCTCATGCGCTGCATTCCTCGCGGCAAATGCGATAAGAATGTGTATATTGTGTTCAAAACAAACACAATTCTCGTGCCGAACACGAGGTTTGCTGATAAATATAAGAATATAGAATACAATTCTATTTTATGATTTTTAGTTCATGCTAGTGCCATCTCTGAATGGTACAGAGAAAAGCATTTTAAGTTAAATTCTCATACAAATGCATTTCTTAACACTTTTTAAGGGTTTAAAAGTTGAGAGGTTTAGAGGATACTTTACCAATCATGACAACAAGGAAATATTCCCGATATAAAAATTAGTTTGCGTGGTACAGAAAGTTTGGTACGCTATGTTTTTAAAATGTTCTTAAAATTAGCTATTTTTAGTAGGTAATGTGAAGTTTTTTCTACTGTTTTAATTTTGAATACCAAACTTTTAGCGCTGGTTGCCCATTCTGTTCATGAACCTCAATGCATACCATATTTTTTCTATATGGTAGCTACGCCACTGGACCAAGTAATAAATTTGAAGCAAAGGGAGAAAAATGAAAAAGAAAGCAAAATAATTAAGTGGCAAACATAAGCGCGCCAGCAAGCAAACGGTAAACCGTAAGGGCAATTTGAAAAATTTATGTTAATGGACGCCGAATAACGGCAAACGTCGAGCCTCCTCCTCGGCTGCATGCAAAAGGTATTACTCGTTTTCTTAAATGAGATTTCGTTCACGCTGCGAGTCCTAAATTTCTTAATTAATAAAAACGAATTAAAGAACGCCCAATTTAAACAGTCAAAATTATTCATTTCGAATGCAGCAGCATAAAAAATTCAAAAATGTACGAATTAGTGCGTAAAATCCTCTCTCTAACAAAATTTCACTTCGCAAAGTATAAGTGGAATCATTATTAATGTTTATATCAAGTAAAAAACACGCAGAATACAATACAGTTTGCTTAAAATAACTCCATCACAAAGTTGATAAGTTTTTATCAGAATTGTGAAACATATTTAATTAATAAATAACCAACAACAGCCATAGTGCATTTGTTCACCACTTTGAAGTAGTTTATTCATTACGTCTCAAAAAATCCACCATTGAAATGATGTCTGTGTTGAAATTAAATAAGTTTAGACCACGAGTCTCTATATTTCGGTAAGTAAATAACTTATTATTATAAGATTTAATGTAACTTTAATTTTAATAGGTATTCATCTCGAGCGACGGCAGAAACAACTGAAATCCACGATGAAGTCCGTTTCTTTGAGGAGCGCAGTAGTGCGTGGTGGAATGAAGAAGGGATTATGCGACTATTAATTAAAATGAATCCGCTGCGTCTCGCAATCCTGCAAGAATATTTGACCAAAGCAGGGTTGGCACACTTTGCCTATTCGGAAACCAAGACACCGCTTCGAGGTCTCAAAATGTTGGATGTAGGTTGTGGTGGCGGCCTGTTGAGCGAAGCCCTTGCAAAGCTAGGCGCTGATGTCACAGGAGTAGACGCTGGAAAAGATCTCCTAGAGATTGCCAGGGCGCATATGGCTACCGATCCACAACTACAGAAACATTTACGCTATCAACTCTCATTGATAGAAAACTTCAGTGCCAATCATCGCGATTCTTTTGATGCAGTGGTTTCGTCAGAAGTCATTGAACATGTAAATAATCAGGAAATGTTTGTTAAGCATTGTGTAGAGTGTGTCAAACCAGGTGGGTCGATTATTTTCACGACAATGAATCGCACCTTACCGGGCGGTTTCTTAAACATCACGTTCAACGAGCATATTTATCGTATTATGCCGAAAGGAACACATTCCTACAATCAATTCATTCGTCCCAGAGAATTGAAGAATATGCTGCTGAAATGTAAATATATTCGTAAAATACGAGGCGTATTTAATGTCTGGAATGCCCGCTATGTTTACAGATAATTGTAAAACCGTTGGAGTCCAAGGCTTCACTCTCAATCCGTTCACAGAGACATGGTTCCGAATGCCGGTGAGTTGGTTTAATTATGCGCTGCACGCAATTAAAGATGGACCAAACGCTAATCAGGCCAGTGCTACATGCAAGTATGCTGCTTTCTCGGATCCCGGCAAAAATTAAGTCTCTCTGAATCAACAAGCGCGGAAAGTAAACATCCACATCACAAATATTTGAACTTGTTTTAGCATGTAATAACGCTATGAAGCGAAACAATAAAATAAACATTTTAATAGATACTACAATTTTCTACAACTCGGTGCATTTCTATATTTACTAGCATCTTATCAGTCAGCGCTTGCAATTAGCAACAGTTGCTGACAGACTGCTGAAATACGTTGATCATGTTGCGTGCAAAAACTCTATTAAGGCCCTTCGCGAGGAGGCTTTCAAATGTTTCCACCCAGGACCAAGAACAATTGAATCTTTTTAATAAACTGGGAGGTGCATGGTGGCACGATCCTGGTTTGGACAGTCTGCGAAATATTAACAAGGTCAGGATTCCTATGTTCAGGGATTTCGTTATGCCGATTCACGGGGACTGCAGGCATGCAGGCACACATCAATCATTGAAGGGGATCAAGATGTTGGAAGTTGGCTGTGGAGGTAAAACAAAATTATAATTTTTTTAGTATTATGCAATAATTATTTGTCTACAGGTGGATTTCTTAGTGAGGGTTTAGCTAAACTAGGCGCTGATATGACAGGCCTTGACACAGCAGCTGATGCAATTCAAGCAGCCAAAGACCACGCCACACTAGATCCAAACCTAGCAAAAAATCTAAAATACGATTCTGTCGCTGTGGAAGACTGGGCAAAAACTCATGCTGAAAAATATGATGTGGTAGTCTCCTCGGAAGTAATTGAACATGTCAACGTACCTGAATATTTCCTAAGTAATTGTCTCGCGTGTCTTCGTCCTGGTGGTTCAATGATCTTGACCACTATGTCTCAAACGTGGATAGGCGGTTTTGTCAATATCTTCGTCAGTGAGAATATCACTGGTATTATCCCGAAAGGCGCGCACGAATACTCAAAGTTTATCCATCCGAAGCAAATGCAACAATTACTACTTGCACGTAAGTACTTCTATTGGCGATAACGCCGAACAACGCCGCGTTAATGCGCTTTTTGTGTCGCCGTGCCGTTTAATAAGTTAATAAGTTAAAAATTGATAAAAAGTTATTTGCGTGCTGTAATTAGCTACCAACTTGTCTCGCGTTGCAGATAAGTGCTCGACGCTCGACGTTAAAGGCTTTTGGATCAACAGCTACACGGCGGAGTCGCAGCTATTGCCGGTAACTTGGTTTAACTATGCCATTCATGCAGTAAAACATTAAACAACAACTGCAACGATGCCAATCACACCGACGCCGCACTAGACCTCATTAGAAGAACTTTAGTTGTTGGGTTTTTTTTTCTCTGAGCGCACGCATCGAAAAAATTAATCAGTTCACAAACAATCTGAGTGTATAATGTATCAGCAGTAAACAAATATACTAGCCAGACAATCAGTTGATACTTACTTTGTGATTTAAGTTGTTTTGATCGCTTGCGTAAGCGTGATATGAGAGAAAAAATCTATCACAATAATGTCCCAATCAGCTACGATTTAAATGAGAAAAAGAGGAACGCGACTGGAACATTAATTTAATGACAAAATGAGAATATCCGCAATTATCGTTTATATAATTTGATTTAATTGGATTTTTATTAATTGTGTCAAGGCGTGTACACTGTGTGCGCGTCTCTCTTGAAATGCTCCAAACGTAAGATAATGACGAAAAACGCATTGCGAATACAGCGCGAAAGGAAGTAAACAAAAAAAACTGTTTCGTTTTAAGTGCGTACGATGTGTAAATGAGTGTTTACAGAAATCAAGCAGGTACGTATTAGTATTTAAGACTTAAGAAACATGCGATTCAATTTAAGTTACAACGCCACACCGGATGACACTGTCGCGCGCAAACAATCATAATTGATTTCAATTTATGTAACACAACTCAAGCGAAGATACCAGTACATTGTATTCGGCGTGCAATGATCAAAATTCACCTACAAGACCGAAATCGGATTAAGGCGTTTAATGTATTGACCAGTGTTCAACATAAATGTAATGTCCTTCTCAGCAATTTAACGCTGCTCGTTGGACAAAGACAGTCTTCCCATTGTTAGCGTCTGACAATTTGTTGCTATTTTTTAAAGCAAACCTCGCACAAAAAGCGCTCTTTGTCAATGCAAATCGGGTGTTAATATGAGGACAATGTTGAATTAGTTACACGCCAAATTTCTTCAGTTTGCTAACAATGTTGACTTTGGCACATCAAAAACACCACCACCACACCGCGAAAAAAAATCATCAAACACTTTGCGCGGAAAAAAATGCTCGCCAATTTTCCATAATGATCGTAAAAAATTGCGCGGACCTTTACCTTTACCCACGATGATGCCATTGTACTTGCCAGACGATGCAAGCGTAAATTACACTCGGGGAAGCAATAGACCGTAAATTTAATTCATTTCGGAAGCCAGTCTAGCATAGACGAATAAAATACTCAATGATCTTGAAGATGATACAATGCTTCAAATCTGTGACAGAAATTTTAACGATTTTGCCAGCACGCAAAACAAATGTGTTCGATTTTTAAAATGTAGCAGCTGCGCAAAATCTGAATACAGCAAATTGTGCAAACAGTAGTTTAATATGGCGATGATTTCATAATGAACGCATAATTTGATGTTTGTCGCTTGTACTGCGTTGTAAACACATAGGCTGGGCGCAAAACGCGCGTAACAATTCATTATTAAACGGTGATTTTTAATTGTGGCTGGAAAATGCAGCCCGCCTCCGGCGGGCCAATGCTGGAATCGATTCGATGTGCATGGTCGTCGCGACTCGGCGAAAATTTCGCGCGCTCGATATAATTCAATCAGAATTTTCGCCGCGCCACCGATTTTGTCGTGCGATTGCAACACACCATCGCAAACACTAGCCGCGGCGTGTCAATGTGACACCACGTAAAAACAGAGTAAAGAAGGTGAGATAAAGGTGGGACTCTCCCGGTGGGAGATTCGGCAAGGCTACAGGTGCAAATATAAAACGCACGTCCAGCCACCCGGCCGACAAGTTTTCAGTCGCGGCTTACATAAGCACTTCGTCCGACTTCTTTGCGTTTTATTACCACGAGTCATCAACCGCCAACGATATGAAGTCAATCGTGAGTATCTTACACTTTTCGCGTGTCACACGGCGAGCGGCTAATTTGTTTAGCATTGAACCGAACTTAATTGTCGAGTCATGCATGCTGATGAAATTAAAAGTTATCATTCCGAACGCGACACATACTTGTAATTGCCGATCGCACGGAACTTTGGATAGTTGTCCCATCAACTTCAATAAGTCAATATTAGAGATATTGTAATATAGAATATCGTTAATTGGACTTGAAACTTTAATTGCTCTCACGCGAGAGCAATTTTTCGCAAAATCCGTTCGAATATGATGAAACATTGCAGGTGTTGTTGGGTGTCGTAGCACTCGCTGCGTGTGTACAATCCGGAGGATACGGTCTTCTTGGCGGTGACGGCGGCTACCAGGGTGGATACGGCGGAGGATACGGAGGAGGATACGGCGGTTATGGTGGGTATGGCGGTTACTATCCGGGCGGATACAATAGGCCCTACTATCCGCCAAATTACTATCGCCCAGGTGAATCTATTTTGCGATTAAATTTGATTTAATTCTCGCTAATTAGCTTAATAACAAGGCTAACCGACGTAAACAAGCCGTCTGAAAGGGGGCATCCTTTTTGAGATGGCATACTCTCATGCCGAGAAGCCTCGCATGACGAAAATCAAATTTATTTGTGACTTACGTTTCAGAAACCTTGTAATAATCTGCGATTCAATTAATACAGAATACTAACTGAACACTAACCGAATTTCGAATGTCGTCACTGATTAGGCACTGGTACTTCAACTTCTACAGGCGGTTACAGACCAGGTTACTCCGGATATCGTCCAGGGTATGGCGGATACGGTGGATATGGTGGTAACTCCGGCGGGTATGGTGGTTACGGAGGGTATGGAGGATATGGTGGTCTCGGCGGCGGCTATGGAGGTTACGACAACATAGGCTACACCAACAAATATGGCGGTTATGGAGGATCTGGAGGGTATGGTGGTTATTCTGGCTATCGCCCTGGCGGCTATGGCAGTTCGGGATATGGCGGATACTACGGCGGTCAGTCCAGTTACAGTGGTTATCCAAATAACAACTACTACGGCAACAGCTTGTCTGGGTACAACGGCGCGGTGGGCTACGGCGGCGGGAACAACGGCTACGGCGGATACGCTGGCTATGGCGGTGCCGGTTTCTTTAACAAGAAATAACTCCAGATTGAGCAACCAATGAGCCACACCATTATTTATTAAGCATCGACCTACCCAATAAGACTCCGAATTTTATTACCATGTAAATGTTGATCATGCATTGTATATTTACCTGTATGAATAAGTACAACTTACGTATAAGACCGTCTATAATATACACCAGAAAGCGAAAACACTTGAGTTTTGTTTGGCCCGCTCCATTAAACCCATTACGCCCATTTTTGCTATTTCAGAGTTTTAAATAAACACACATAATAACTGGGTTAGAGAAACCAAAAAGATTGGCACCCACGCGCATCCTTCGGCTTGAATTTCGTTTTCGCGAATTGCGATTACGTCTTCGTCGTCGATTTTTGGCGATTGGGGTCACGCCAAACAGGTAAAAGAGTCAATAATTACGAAATCATCTGCACAGATGTATAAATAAATTTTATCACGGCGGAAATACGTTAAAAATCCAAAAAAACATTTACAGATTATAAAATAAAATCAGCAATGCGTAGAGCAAGTCGGAAAGAAACATTGTATTGACTTAAGTATTGAAAACGTAGATTATCTCAAGCCGCATCACAGTATCTTGTTACGTACAAATTAATTACGTTGGGAATTATGTCAACAAAGCGTACCCGAGGAGTATTTAATGAAACATGCTCGTAGCGATCTACTTGAGTGATTTTTAAGGGAAGTGCGAAATTGAATACGCACTTACCTTGTACAACATGCAGAGTGTGTGTAGGTATACGCGACATGTGCGAGCGGAGTAAAAACAGAGCAAGAAAGCGGCGTGTAATTCAATAAACGTTGAATGGAAATTCCGATTTGTAATATCTCTCGGTGCTGCGGCGTGGCCTATGTTGCAATCTTCATCTGCATCAGAATGCAAAGCAAAGCAAAACAAGAGACACGAATAGTTTGCGCAGATCGGCGTGTACAAACACAAGGCTTGATCTCAATAACTTAATCTGGTTATCAACGTGATTAATTTCGAGATCTTACGAGATTCGTTGGTTCGTCATTGTTTGGAATAGTTTACGATCGCCGTCTGCAGCCCCTACGCACATTAAGCGCTTATTAACCCAATAATTAAGTTTAGCCATTTGCGATCGGACTTTACTTTCGGTGGTTCAGCGCGAAATACTTGTTATGTAAGCGTCGTATTCGGCGCGAGAGGCGAGTCGCGATCTTTGAATTTCTAGACGTAATGAACATGCGCCTGTGTATGAATCCACTTTTACTCTCACTCTCTTCAGCACAACTTCTTTTGCGCCGGCCTACTACCGTTTAAGACCTTTCTTCTTTCGTGAATAATACTCGCGGGTTTGCGTTCGAGACGCGAGTACGCCGCGAAAATCCAACCGAGATTTATCTATTAATTAAATTCTGTGCAATTCTTTCATAAAGTTTAAGTTGAAAAAAAAAAACGAAAAACTACGAAATGAAACCATTGGGATTAAAAGTTCAGGTATTTGCTGGGTTTGCGTTGAAATGATGTTCTTATTCGTCGGAAAATCACCGTTTCAGTGGCAGGCGGTTCTCGTGGTGCTGTTAGTGATCTCGCTGGTGGTGGCCCAAGATTATGACGACTACGGGCGACGCAATCGAAGACGCCGACCGCAGAATCAACACTCCCCTTCGTCGGGTTCGGGGCCGTGCGGCCGTTTCTTGGGTCTGACGTACTTAAACTTCAATTACAACGTCGATTGCGGCGGGCATGGCGGTCACGGCGGAGGCGGCAGCGGCAGCATCGACGACTTTCTGGGCGGGCATGGCGGGCACGGAGGACATGGTGGTTACAGACCGCAAAAGCCCAACCGGCCGTTCGGAGGTAAACACCCTTTCCCTCGCATGACGCATATTTTTGCATGAGAAATTTCAGGATTTGGGGGCGGTGGTGGCGCCGGAGGGCAGCTCGGCGACGGTCAATCGCAAGTCGGCGGCGGTGGCGGCGGGGGGTTCTTCAACCGGCCTATTTGGGGTGCCATTGGAAACTTTGCCAGCAACATTGGTAGCACTGTGGGCAACACAGTCGGTTCTTTCACGAACGGATTCAACGACGTCGGCGGCGGCGGCGGAGGACATTTCTTCGACGGGAGCATTATTAATAGTTTCGGAAGCTTGTTCAGTAATAGTGGTGGTGGTAGTGGTAGTAGTGGTGTACCATCTCGTCCTTTAGTAAACAACAATCGTCCTGACCCTGTATCACCAAGCACACCATCAGTATCACAAACAACTGAAGGTTTTCCAAGCATTGAACCACATCCTGTAGTACCCATTGTAGATCTACGACCAGTGCATGAAGAGTACTATGACGAAGTCACAGAACCTGCCCTGTACGGCAGCACTAATAGCAAATTCCTTGACAATCGCTATGTTTCAGGCGGAGGTAATCATCATAATCATAATGGCGGCCTCTTCGACATTAACTATAATAAAGCCTTCAAGAAGATTAATCGTAACATTAATCAGGCATTCAATTACCTCTTCAGGAGATAACGGATGCGTCTTATCATCTGATCATTGAGGAGTGGCTTTGTGTTAAGTGTATTAAACGTATTAAAAATGCATCACATTCTTTTATCATTCTGTTAAACCACATTCACCTGACTTCATGCATGATATTTTTCGATAAAATTACAAAATAAAAATTTAAGCACGGATTATGTAAGGAAATAATATACGTCAATGGCGCAATAACTGTAACAGGTTTGAATATAATATCACTTTGCCCATTAGTGTCCTAATTAGCTAATGATTGCGCATGGAGACGGATAATGAAGCGACCCGTCGGATTATTCCACAAATAAGGGACAAGAGTATTGAAATAAGTGAATTATAATGATAAACCTTTCGGTGTGTCGCGTTATCGAGCGTAATGAAAATGGCGTAATCCATGCCTTTGAAAAGTTCGCGTCAAAACACGCACACACGCAGCGAGATAAAGCTAACGCTGGAAGCGGAGAACGAATAACAAGCCACTGAACGTGAACAGTTTTAATAAATTGTTTATTATTAATATAAATAATAAGAACCCTCGAATATTGCTTCTGCGTAATAAAGAGAAACCGTTTCATATTCAAGGACTAACTAAATAACATCATCATACATACAGACTTCTTTGTACATCTTTTACATTATACATATTAACTGGAAGTAACTTATATACTTTGCAGGTATTTTCGGAATAGTTGTAGTATGTAAATTGTTGTAGTTCATAAGTTTATATAGTAAAATTGCGTTATGTATTGCATGTATTACAATTCTATAAATGTTTAGAATAATGTTTGTATGATAGGTTTGTTTGTAATCAGTTATATATCTCTTCCTGCGCGCGTGCAGGCGAAAATAAAACGAGTCATTTCCATCATGCATTTTGATTTGATCTCCTCCTCCTTCGCTGCGCTCGGCCACCGTGAAAAAAGCACGAGATATGTCTCATTTTCAGTATCGTCAGTAGTCGGTTTGTTATTGGTTATTACAATATTCTTCGCCTAGGTATTTTTTGGTCCGTATAATATATAATTTTTCGTATGTCTCGTTATCATGCCACTATGTACACAAAGAAATAGAGGTATATAATATAAAAATCCAATAAGATTATGTATATGGTTATAATACATAATTATAGTAGTCGCAAATATAAGTTTATAAAATTTCGCGGGCGCTCCGCATACGTGATTCTTCGCCTCACCGCATTTCAGCCATCTGTTTGCAGTTGTAGGGTGCAACTACACAAAACGCATTTCGACATGACTAAAGAGTGGTACAATTCAAAACGTATCCTAACGCCATAAGCTATCATTATTAGATTAGAAGATGGTAATCATGCTTTCGGGTAATATCTCATCGGGTCCAACCACGCTACAACGCTTTCAATAATTTTTGCTTCACAATACGTCTTTTCGCAATACAATATGTTTCAATACAGCTCGCATTTGGAGTTTTTGATTTTTGATTCATACACATCACGCTTCGTTTTGATTCAGTTTGCCATATTCGTCTTTCAATTTGCAAATGGATTAACATATAAGATAATGCATTAATTATTATTAGTACAGTTTTCTTGTTTAGATGTATTTGTTAATGATTAATTGTAATAAAATAAAATTTCTATTTAAAGTACATTTTACACATTTAATAATTATACTCATAGTAATAATAGAATTATATAATTAAACATCGTATCATGTGATTCTTCTCGTGTTCATTTTAGTGAAATTTCGCATTAATTGGTGCACATTCTGTGTCTCGCCCCCCTCGCCGTCACAATTCCGTCGCAAATGATTGTGTGTGTGTGTGTGTGTGGTACACTTTATTATCGTCGCATCCTCTTACTATTTAGCGTTTCATTACATGACAGTTAATATTAGTAGCAGTAGAATCATCACAGTCCTTGCACGAAAATAAAAATTAATTATATGGCAGCTGAAAGTCGTAGCTGGTTGATTAATTTAAACATTCAAATACATCATTAAACGCACGAAAAATGTTTATTTTTATTCTTGGCACTCGTCTTCTAATAGGTATATTTATGTAGTAATAGTAATAGTTACAAAGTAGTAAAAACCAAGGCACTGCGTGCAACATTTTTTTGTGTTTTGCAAAATTTCTCGTCCGAATTTTTACCGCCGCCGCCGCCGCCCACCGTTCGCGTCGCAAATATATCGTATTCACGGCAGTTGAGATAGCTTCTTCAAGGAATGAATCACAAAATGTTGAATAATGGTCGTGTGTCCGAAAGCCGCACCGTCGCATGCGTCGTCCGTTCAATAATTACGTCATTTCTGCTAGATATATGTATGTTTCATATGATTTTGTTTTTGCTTTTTCTTTAAATAAAACGAACACACCTAACTATAGTGTTTAATTAATAGAATAATAATAATAATAAACGTAGCACAGCCGTCGAGTAAAAAATGTTTAAAGCAGTCACGTGTGTTGATTTCAAAGTTTCCCATTCCGTTTGCGGTTCCTCCGTTCGGCGGCCTCCTCGGCGGCGCACTTTGGTGGAGGCACATCGCGCCCCGTTGATTATTGTCTCGTTTGACATGTTGTACTCGGAGGCCGGAGCGATGCGGCCGCTGACGACTTTAAATTAATCTCTGCTCCGTGGTGCACTTCTTTCTAAGTGGTCGGTCGTTTCGTTCCATCTTTGCGCCTGCATGCGTTCTTTCTGTTTGCTTGTTTGTTTTTTCTTTTGATTAAATAATGATAACAAAGAGACTATAAACGTTGCTCTTATATAATAATATCTATGGGTAGTTTATCACATATGGGTCACTTGGGTGTACGGAAATATCGCAGCACGACGTATCCCAGCAGTCGGAACACCAGAAGAAAGGCGACCAGCACGCACGTGTTGGCCCACAGCGGCAGGTGCGGTCCCTGCGCCTCCAGGATCGCCGACACCGGTATGTGCGACGAGTCGGCACAGATTGGAAATTTGCTTGTATTTGAACACCTAAAAATCACCATTACATACAATAGAATCATGTCAATCTAGAACAAATGCCTGCACTTACATTATTGGCAGTCCATCGCTAAACTCGACGATCTGCATATTCTGATAGGCGTAGTGCACCATCGACAAGTAGCGCATCCACGTGAGCCACGCGGGTATGTTCGTAGCAAGGTACCCTCCAAACAACTGCGTGGCCAGCGTGTAGAGCGCACTGATCGTGATGCTCACCTGCATGTCCATGCAAGCCGCTCCAATGAAAAAACCCACGCTCTGTGCCACGATGGTGTTGAGTAGCAGAAAGCCCAGCAGCGTGAAGAACACCACCGGCGAATGGAAGCCGAGCATTGGGTAGGATATCACGTGATAGATGGCCGGCAGGGTCACCGTGAGTGGCAACTCGCCGACCATCTTCGCTAAATAGTAAGCGCTCAAACGGTACGCCCCCGATTGCCGCTCTTTGTTGATTACCTCGCGTTCCGGTGGGAACGAGCTCAACGCACCGAAATGTGCGAAGAGCATCCAATACGTGGTGGAGAAAAACATCCAGCCCTGTATATCATGCAGAGCCTCCTCGCGCCGTTCCAGCTGGAACCAAAGGAGGCCGGCCATCAGCCCCAAGCCGATGGTTTGCACCCAGTTGAGCTTGGAGAGCATGCGTGGTCGAGCCTCTTGAAAGTTCCGCTGGGAGAGCACCTTGAACTGCGTCCAGAAACTGGTCGGCCAGGAGAAGTAACAGTCGGAATCGCTCGTCTCGCTGCTGGAAGAAGACGCGTGTGAGTGCGTGTCCAACCACAGGCGACGGACGTCTGGCTCCATGGAATTGAGCATGTCCTCCGAGGGGAGGTTGCTGTTGGTCATACCTGCTTTAGAAACAACCACGGACCGTTAAAACAACCACTAAACCTCAATAAAAATAAAGTACTAGAAGTACATACGGTCTAGATGTGGAAATGGATGATGCGTGGGATCCATCACGCGTCCTGAGGTATCCATAAACTTTTCTTGTAAATAAATGCAATCGTGCAATTCGACAGGGTAATCTTTCGCCTCGCGAGCATCTCTCGCCGCGGCGATGATTTTCTGTCGAACTTCAGAAGATCCTTTCACTTGTTCCACTAAACATTAACAGAATATCGATCATAGATCCTCCACACAAGAGGAATCCAATGGTACTCACGTATAAAATCAGCAGGATTATAATGAGGCATAATGTGAAGTCCTACGTTGGCAAAAAAGTCGACCACTTTACAGGTGTCGCCGAAATAAGCCGTCTGCCCACCGCATAGCAACAGAAGCTTGTCACAGAGATGAAATATCTGACTGGAGGGTTGATGGAGCGTGACGACCACCGTCTTACCCTCGGAGACCGCGTACCGCTTTAGCGTCGTCATGAGATTAAAAGCAGCGTACGAATCGAGGCCGGAGGTGGGTTCCTGCGATTCCGAAAGAAAAGCATTTGCAAAATACCTAAATCTCCGTGCTTCAGGAAATAACTTACGTCGAGCAGCATCAAGGATGGGTTCGTCAGCAATTCGCAAGCTATATTCGCGCGTTTTTTCTCGCCACCACTTAACCCCCGTTTGATATAGTCCCCGATAATGGTGTCCTGGCAAGGACCCAACTCCAGGACGTCGATAATATGGTCCACATACTGCATCTTCTGCGAATGGCTCATGGTATCTGGCAGGCGGAGTCTCGCAGTGTACTCCAGGGTCTGCCGAAGCGTGAGATCCGGAAAGAAGATGTCCTGCTGCAGCACATAGCAGATCTTACGCTTCCACCGCTTGCACAGCTGGTCGCGGTTGAGATAAATATGCCCGCTGTCAAGCCGCAGGCGACCACTGAGACAATTCAGCAGTGTGGTCTTGCCGCACCCGGAAGGACCCATAACGGCCAGCAGCTGACCGGGTCGCACCAACCCATCGACATCGCGCAGAATCTGGCGATTGCCCACGCTGACGGTGAGGCCACGAAAGGCGAGGTGCACCGGCAGCGGGCGGTGATCGGTGATGAGACATGGAAATGGGACTGCTGTTTGATCGGACCTGCAACAAAGAGAAGGATGCTCCCATTACTGATTTGGGTTACGGCTGAGTCGCGTGCGCTGATTCTCATGGTCTGGTTATGAAAAGCACAATTGTGTCCCGGCGGCAAGGCCACGCATGAAATTAAAATATTGACACCAATCTGCTGGCGCAGCTCTTATCAAGATGAGTATTTTGTCATGCGAAATCGATTCGGCGAGTGCAACGCATGGGTACATTTCCTGCTGAAAGTAGGTTTTCGTAATTGTAATTATATGGCTTAACTTAAACCGTCTGACTAATAAATTACTGCTGCAATGCGATGTTTCTTAATAACGATGATTCAACGATGTGTCCGCATTTAGATCCATAATCGAGTCATTTATTCATTTCGTACAAGAGCGATGGTGCAAGAACACGTAATAGTTGTTGATTTTAAATTATTTACGAACGATGTGATTAAGGGTGTTCTACTCCGGCACGCTTTGTGTACCGTTTTCGGAATACAAAATTAATGCGATACGTCAAAACTAGCAACTAATGCGATAATGACAATCGTTAGCCCTTCAATAATTGATGCGGTACCATTATAGCACTACATACGTAAACATGCAAGTTTAAATTAACATCGTTGTAGATTTGGTGGAGGCGCCGGGATGATGTGCTGGTAACGCTGGTTGTGTGTTAACCTTGTTGTGCGGAGTAACAAGATCAGATGCAAAGCGGAATCACGCCGAAGAGTGTTATATGCATGTTATGAATAGAACAATCACGTCAATCATCCGGCGAAGATAGGCGACTCCGGAGGAGTCCGGGCGGTGTGAGCGCTTGGCTCGACCGGTCGCGGTGTGGGTTTTGAACAACGGAACTATTTTTTGTGTGTCCCAGTATTCTTGGTAACCTACTGACCTGATGGGTTCATCGACCCAATACGCCGCGAGAGAGACCAGCCGTGCCGACACACAGAGCAGCCGCAACCGCGTGGTCGTGGTAGTGTGGTCGCGCGCGCGCTCGCCCGTGTCTTCGGCGCTGCGCGGCGCTTCTTCGGCTTCTTTGGCGGATCGCGGGGGCCGCGCGGCCGGGCCCCAAAAACGCCCGGCCCGCCGAGAGCGTCGTCTCCATTGTTCGGCCTCCGCCGCGCCGCGCCGACCGGATCCGCGTCTAACAGTACTTCGTAACTAATTGAATGATTAAAAGATAGCATCTGTATTATGATAATTGGATCGTGGATCGAGGACTCGAACCGGCGGAATAGAATGACTGCGTTGGTATGCCGGCCCCGATGCGACCGCAAAGGGACTGCCAACGCCTCTATTAACATTCTTGATCGGAGATCTGATGCCGGATGAAACGACCGAATTGAATTCCGGCATAATGCAAAATGCGCTCGAAGCGATTGGGACTTTCCAAACTCGTCGAAAAACTAAGCGGCGTGACGAAAGGCGTGCGTGTCGCCACGGCTGTGAAATTATCGACGACACGACGACGACGACTATTGACAATGCCGTATCGAGAGCCAAATGGCAAACAGCGCGGGCTGGGTGCCGTGTTTGCCAGGAAAGCCGGTTTGCCAGGGCACCTAACGCCGCCGTTCGGTCAACGCCGAACCGCGACGCTTCGTTTACACGCTCGATGATAATGAGAATAAATTGTGCGGCTCAATAATGAAATAAATATTTACGTAGGTGTGTTGTGTGCCTCGTTACGAAACGAGGAGTGTCAGAAATAAATTTCATTTCTCTATACGCTACACGCGAAGCGCGGGGTCCTTAAACTCTCTTTCGCGCGCGCACCAGGCCCAATCAAAGTTTAAGTAACGTAGGTTCATGGGATCGTCCGATGCACCCGAAATTGCGTGCGCCGGCCGCAGCGAAACGATTCGGCAATTAAGCGGCGGCTCGGAATTTTCATTAAATGAAAGATCAACGGTCCCCGGCTCGTGCACACGCACTTGTTGCGAATATTCGGGGGTCAATCGCGGGTCAATGTCTAATTACGCGCGGGATGCGGGATTCGCGGCAGCCACGAATGATGAAGAGAGGTCAAGTGTCGGTCCGCTACCCCGGGCAGCTGTGCGATGCGGCAATGTGGTCCCGAAAATGTCACCTGCACGCCGCGGCCTCGCACGACCGGACCGATCGTCGCCTTTTTTATTAACGGATTCTTGGGCATCGTCGTTATTCTTGTATAATAACGGTATTAGGAGGATGCTGTCAGCGCGCACCAGAAGCGCACACGCCGGCCGCCGATGGATGTTTCTGCATGTCGAGTGGGCCGTGGGTCGGTATGCTTATTACTGTTTGCGTATCGATTGAGAGATCCAGCCGCGCGTGTGCATTTCGCGACCGAAGACACGCCATCCGCGCCGCAGCGTATCTCGGCGAAAACACATAAAACCGCGCGCGCGGCGCGGCAATTAACGCGGACGAGCGAAACGCGAAACGTAAAACGGCGACCTAATTAATGAATGAAGCGGATTTACATAAATTTACAATACCCATGTAATAATAAATTTACAGCTCGTGAATTTTTCACATTTTTGTTGCTTCTTTCCGCGGCGCACAGGCGTTGAGAGTCGCGGCCTGTCGACAGAGGAAAAAAATACACTCACGAGGCGATGACAGCGTCGACAAGTAGTCGCCACTGTCGACACCAAAAACAAGTTTGCATTTTATTATGTTATTTTGCATGTGTGTAATTGGCACGCATTCGTCGCACAATTAATGAAATAATTAATCGATTGGGAATATGTGTCACTTATAATTAGCGATCGCGCTGCTGATGAGGAAAAATGCTAGCATCACATGCGAAAAACGCCTGCTGCAGCCGTCCGCGCAAAAACAACAATATATTTATTCAGCGGCGTATTGTTGTTTTAATCGTGGCGCGATTCAAAGAAACGCGAGTCATTGAACAAACTATGAGTAATTAATTAAAGCGTACAAACGTTCGGCCGCTAACGTGTGTTTGTTGTCGTATTATGTAACTGGCAAGTTGACAATGCGACTTTGGTATAGATTTAATGACTCTCAAACAATTTGGTAACTTTCTTCAAACAGCAATTGAGCAAGTGAGCTAAAAGAACGATCACAACACCAGCTGTGATAGTGCTGGCCGGCCATCCAGTTCTTCTGCGGCGGTGCGGTCCATCTGACCGTTCTCTGGCGTTCGTCAGTCGGTTCGGGCATTTTATCATAATGTATTATGACCTGGTTATGAGTGTGACCTACTGTAAGTGGAGACTTGTGGCTAGGCTGCGAGCGACGCCGTTTCGGAATTGATGTACGTACATACAATAATGAGCGTTTGTGTGCGTACGCGGCGAGTCAACGACCTCGCGACGAAGCCACCAAACATAACACACAGGACATGCACACATAAATAAAATATTTTACTTGCGCGCCGCTGCGCCGCACACGTACGACCCCAAAAATAAAATCGAAAAAACGCGCGCTGGGCCGCGCGGCTAATTCGTTTTGGATATTCGGCCGGCCGGCCGGTCTCTGTTTACGTTCGGACTTGCAACTGGAGCCCACTTTCTACGTCAATGACTTCACACCTTCGATGCGTTTCTCCAGGCGCTTGCAAAACCGCTGCGCGCGCTGGCAGCATTCAATGCAAATGGGCGAAGGAGCTGGGCATAGCCCTTACACAATGCGTATCGAAATTCGGCGTTAATTGCGTCCGCAGTTACCCAACAGACACAATGAATTGACAAACTTCCGAGTCCGCAGAGGAAACGTACGCACATTGCATCAACGTGCTTTTTAAATAGTTTTTTGGCGAGGTTTGCGCGCTTGGCGCGGAAAAATTGCGTCAGAAAATTAATTGCGATGCAAGCGCGCCGCGCGGGAATGCCGCGCAGAGTGCAAAGGACTCTTAATACCGACGCCGAGTCCCATCATCCCGAGGCGTTGCCAGCGTTACTGAAACTTTTGTGAGCGCAGCCAGTGTTACTACAACAACCTCGGCCGGCGCACACAGGCGCGATGCGATGAAAATAGACTTCCCGGGTCAAAAAACCTCCACTTTATATCGTGCTAGATTCTTGTTTTCGATACTTTGCCAAAAATTTTTATCCGCCGCCTGCGAACGAACAAGTGGTCTGCGCGTGATAAGCGCGCGCACACATTGCGCATGCAATTAGAAAGGGCGGCGACGCCGACGCTGCTGCTGCTGCTCGACGCAAGCCGAATATTCTAATCGCCCGAACTCGCTCGTTAGCGCGTTCGATTGTCGCTGCTGCTCAGCGCTGAGATAAAAATATAAAACTAATTTAGAGTTCTTTGATCCGGCCCCAACACATCGATGACATGCGAGGATAACCGCGCACACACGCACCGCATTATTAATACACTCGGGCACATTGTGCGCGACACAATACGTTCGCGCTATAATTGTGAGCGTGAGTGCGTCGCGCGCTGCGCGGCGAAACAAAAGCGCTAGATAAATGAACACACAACAAACGGACGGACGGCGGCGATGCTGCGGTAGCGCAAGCCCGCACCGGCCGGCGTTGTCTTGGCCACCGTCGCTGCCGGAAAAAAAGCCGCCGCATTAGATAATTTTATTGATGACGATTCTTACACGCGAGTAAGAAGCCAGGAGCGATGCCCGATGCGCGAGCAAGGCAATAAAAAACAATCAGAAGGAATTGATCATCAGGGACATAACAATAATTACCGCGGATGGCGAAACGCTGGAAATTTAGAAGAATTAACCGCACTCGATTCAATTCGCTCGCATATCAAACCCATCAAGAAGTGCGCGCGCGATGTGACGCAATGCGGTCAGCACCACTCTCAAGATCTCGATGAAAAATGCCGAAATTTCAAGTGAAACGCATGCCGTTAGACGGAAATTTACTGTTAAGCGGTCACTTTCGAAATGTACCCAGCGCGCAATTGAAAAACTGATTTCGAATGCACGCGGTTTTCAGGGAATTTAGCTTGGGAAAACGACGAGTTTTTTATGCGCTCGTTCAGGATGATGTAATTCGTGTGAGACTGTGTGAGAGGTGTAGTGTAGACCAAGCGAACCATGTGGAGGCGCCTTGAAGCAAATTTCTGCAAGGAAACAAGTGAAACAAATGCTTTTAGGTACACTGCTCTCGTACTGATCGCGCTGCTTACATTCTACGAGCTGAATAATCGTAACAATTTACTTACCTATCGATTGGAGGGTAATCCACTGCGTGTCTTCTTCCATCTTCACAGAAACAAGAGTCGTTATCATGCAAAACCCTCCGAATATCATTGAATGTATAAATACTCACATAAAAATAATTTACGTCTTCAAATGATTGAATTTTCTGTCGTCTTCGGCATTAAAATATAAATTATTGAAATATTTTCATGACATGCATTAAATTCTGATTTAATTGACTCTGTTTTGATCTTGTCTTCTTGGCGTATTTTCGACTTGGAGCTGATGATGAGGAGGAGCATCCTTGCAGTGCGAATTTTGTGTATTTTATGTATGTTTACGTTAAGAATTAGAATTTTAGGTAGGCCAGTCTCGCAGATGATGCCGGATAAAATACGCTACGCGACACCACGATCCCGACGGACTGCTCGAAGTCGCGGGACTAAAAAAGCAAAATGTACGGTATCAATGACTGAAGCTCCAGCTCCCAACGGCGGGCTTTTGATGGATGACTGAATAAACACGCACCTACCTTGTACACCTTCCTCACAATCTGTTACGAACTTGTGACAGAACTAAGGCCAGTGATGAACTCAATGATAACGAATTTACTGTTGTTCAGACTTGGGATAATGATATAGAAATTCGGCATAAAGAGGATAATCGCTGCTTTAATTCGGAATTAAAATTCCGACGTGACCATGCCGGGCGGAGTTGTTGACAAGTTGAGATTTCGAATTGGTGCCTCTCTCGGCGCGCATTGCATAATCCGACTGCTCGGAATATCAAATTTCCTCGAGTCAGGTAAGCCGGTTCGTTTCTAATGCGCGCGGTGTTCCCGAATGGTCTTCTTCTGGGTCGCGGATGGCGACACACGTCATCGTTGTGTTTATTATGGTTCATTTCGGCGTCATGTGCGCGCAATTGGTAATCGGCGTCACGTGTTATTGTTGTTTTTGCCGAAACGCATTGTTGCTACACACCGATCTCGAAAGCGGGCCGGGGGGCGTTGAACGCACGCGGAATAGAATTAACGATGCCCGAAAACGTGCGCGTGCTGGAAAACGTCAAATTTCCTGCACATACTGCCGGGGCCGAATTAAGGACGCGAATCGATGTCGTGCGATGTGGCGTACGTTGGCGGCGTCACGTTTGCGTCTTCGGAGTGCGTCTCTTCGCCGATGACGAAACGGCCCGGGCGCATATGCATGCACGTGACCATCATCAGAGCGTCGGTCGAAATTGTGGCAAAATTGTGTGTGCTATGATTGCACTCACTCACCGTGCGATGCGGCGTTACGAAACTTGGTTAGTAATGGCATTGTTGTTGCGGTCGGCGTAGCGCGGTTGTTCGCGCAACGCGGCCGCGCGCGTGTGTTTTTTTTTTCGCCGTTCCGTCGTCGTCGTCGTCGTCTTGTTTGTTTGTTGTGCTTTATCGTGTCAACGAACTGGCCGATTATTGCCGCAATTTTCTCACTCGTTTACAAATTCTCTTGCGTTATTATCCGCGCCTTCGGGGCGCACTCACGGCGATATAGATTAGGATCAAATTGTGCCATTTTGTGTGCATCGCGAGAGGCGCTGAGAATAATTGACGAGAAAACGAAATGCGCTCGTAAACCACCGCGCGCTCACTCGCTGTGCTGTGTGCTCGCCACATAAATTACAGCACCGGGGAATGAAGAAAAATCTCGAAGTTCGCTGTCGCCGCACTCGGTTCGAATGGTTGGCCAATCGTCATTATCATTGCATTAGACTATTAGACGCACACGATTTCTGCGTTAAATCTTTGCATCTCCGAGCCGGCATTGCGACACTGCGAGAGTTGTTAGTAAAATTGTGCGGCCACTTTCCAAGCATCGCTAACTACGCGGAGATTTATCGAAGAATTTCAGCGCGATCCTCATCCCAATATTTCAACCGACACTCGCAAAGTTACAAAACTCGCATTTAACCACTCGACCGCGAGCTGTGTGTGTTGTAAAGAGAAGTAAACTATCAGTTTGACGTGGTGCACGCTCCGGAGCAAGAATCAATGTTTATGACAGAGAATAATTATTAAGAAATTGCAATTTAATTACGCGAGTGATCCCAGCAGACGCATTAAACTCGCATTAAATTTTAAATGCGCATACAAATCGTGCAGTGCGATCGCCGCTAGCCGGAGTTGGAAACAAGTTGACACGAGCGCAAAGGCATCGCGCGAACGGCGGCTGGAAAAATTCGTGTCGTGCGCTATGCGCCGCGCTTCGTGCCATTATTGCGTGCGCAGTTTTTTTTTCTCTTCTCTTCGACCATTTCGTTTGTTCCACTGCGTCGCATTACATTTCGTTTCAATTACAAAGTGCAATAATATCTGGCGAGCATCGGAGCGAACGGGTTCGCTGTGTAAGTAGTGTGTAAGTAGCACCGCGCGCGAGTACAATAACCTATTATGAAACATTCGCTATGACAAACAAATCGCAATGATTTTTTATCTCGCGCGCGCGCTAAACGCGTCGGCGCTTTTCTATTTTCAGTAATGCTGTCAGAAATCGCGCTCGCTCGCTTTATTTCGCATTATCAAACGTTAATGCCAGAGCGTAAGAAACGGAAATTACACACAAAAACGTTACCGAACTTTGCAACCCACCAAGGCAACAAAAACCGAAGTTTCTCGAGTGAAACAAGGGTGGAAAAAAGCGTGGAAGACATTGCAACACAGTTTCCTGCATCAGTTGGTTGCATAATTTCAGCCGAGGCTGGCACTAATGGACCTTTGATGATCCTTCCTAACGAGCGAGCCTAAGACAACGAGTTCCGAGGCGCGCGCTCCGATAACGACTCCCCAATAAAGTTCGACGACGACGACGTGTGCGCGCGCGAACCGCGCGCCGCGCCGTTTACGAACTCGAGCAGAGTGAATATCTAGCAAAGTCCTTCACGGTACCGTTGCCAGCCAAGAGACGACTGACTGACTGTTTAAAGTGGGCCGGAGGTTATTGAACTAAACGCGAAAGTTACCGCGATCCGTGACATTTACAACAAAACGAACGCACGCGCCGCTACCACGAAAACAAACATCATTGCCGGCGCGTAATCAGCATCCCTCTCAACAAGTGCAATCACCCAAACACCCTTCCCGGAGGACTAAAACCAGCTTTCAGCGGATGATGAATGAAGTATTAGTTGGAGGACGTAGTAAGATTTGGACCGGAGAATTGCAGAAGAGAGTTACATATAGCCCGAAGGCGCAAATCCTGCGTTCGCGCGTCTGATTTACGTGTCCGCGAGAGCACAGCACCAAAACCCACCAAACCGAATTCAATCCAATCGAATCGAATCGAAACGAGTTCATCGAACCCCGAACCACTGCGCTGCGCGTCACCCGAATCTATCTCACAATTACGAATTTCTTTTCGATCCGAATCCGCACGCGCAGATTCCGTCGTTTCCTAGGCCCCACGCGCGAAAAGAAACCGGCGCGTGCCGCCGAAAGAAATTGAAGAAAGTATATTAATTATCGACCGCTCGCCAATGCGTAATCGCAATTTACGATTTGCGAATCGCGAGCAGCAACAGTTTCCTCTTAACTCAGTCTAAGTGAGTTTGGAGTAGTTTTGAGCGCGTTTGGCATTAGCCAATTGGGCAATGATATGCACGCATGCACGCCGAGAGAGAATACGTGCATAAACACGTAAAAAGCCGCCGCCGGAGTCTCTCGGCGTCCGCTAGACATCAAATAAACAAGCGCAGCGCCGGAGAGCTGCAGCAACAAACAACGAGCGCGCGCGCGCGGCACGCACGATCGCGCGTATAATAATTCTGACCCAGTTTTCGAAACCGATATTACCTTCGTTGAATAGGTACTACGTTCGGCGCGGCGGACGCCGAGGCGATTCGTTATGAATAACCTTTACACATCGCGCGACTGCAGCTAGCACCAAGCACACACCGATGATGATTTCGAGTCATCGATGATCAGCGCGCATCCTCTCAGAACCGGCTCTATTCCCGATCTTGAAGTGCAAGGTTCCCCTGGTTCCCAGGAGATCAAGAAGATTCGTGATTGATTCCGTCCGGGTGGAAATCTGACAAAGAACGCTCTCAGTTCGAAGAAGGTGCGCGCGCGCGCTCAGCGTATAATTCGACACTGAGCGATCGTTAACTATGGCATTAAAGAGTGGAATATAAATAGTAGACTCGGAGTCGCGCACGTACGCACGCTTTATTAGTGATAATCGGCCATCGCAGGAAGAAACGCACGCACCGCGCGCTCGGTTACGCCCGGAACGAAGAATAGAAAAAGTCATCAATCAAATTCGGTACGAGAGAGCCCCTCGGACACGAAAAATTGCTCGTATTATCAACGCTTTCTCGTCGATGCGAGAACGAGGAAAAAGTCGTCTACGCACCGAATTAATGAAATTATAAACTTGATTACCGGATTAGGAAACAATAACACACAGCGTATTTGTGTTTTCTATTCGAAATTTCATTACATCAGCTTCCTTTTGTTTATAAACGTAAAAAACGCGCTGTTTTTTTTTTAAATTTAATTGTGCGCGGCGATGTCGTCGCAGCCATCGGCAGTGCTCCGCGCGCGGATTTAATTTACTTTTCGCTTATAAATTCGTGATTTATGCAAATGCATCGTCATT